GGAGCAGCTAGGAGCATTCTTTCTCACGAAAGCAATGGTTCTGGCCTTCCTAGTGCCTCTTCTAGTTCACGAGGTTAAATATAATATTAAGTTTTTTTTTTTTTACTAATACTAATACCAGCACTGCAGACCCCAGCTGGTAGCAAGTCCCAACATGACAGCAATTGCAGATCCTTCACTGGTCACCTACAATGCCCGCTTCCTGCTGGACCCTAGTACTATGACAACTAGTAGTAGTGTCAATCTGCTTGGACCAGACATCTTGGTCCACAGAGCTCCTGCCTACAACAACAAGAAGTCCTCCATCTACCACAAGTTCTGGAGCACCAATGGCCCCTTATCCAGCACCATGTTACTGCATGAACAAGTGGTCCTCAACTTGTTGTTTGCTGAGGCCCAGCCAGGCCATTGGAGGCCTAGTAGGCATCCTTGTCTCTGATAGTTCCTCCATGCCACAGCAACGGGTCATCAATAACGTATGCAAATACCCAGGGAGCCTCCTAGCAACATCTTCAATGGTAAATAAGACCTTCAGTTATATTGACAATGCAATAGAGGGAAGAGGTGAATTTTTCCACCAGCAGTTGAATGAGAATATGTTCAACCTCAGTGATGGTTATCCATGGCATACTTGCAATACTAGTATGCAAATAAGAAAGGAAGCCTCCTAGCAACTTCCTCAAAGGCAAATAAGACCTTTGGTTGTACAACCTCACTGATAGGGTGCAAGTCCTGACCACTAACCAGCAAGTACAGGCCAACCTTGAAGCAGATCCCACTTTCACTTTCATTGGTCCATTGGGGGAGGCTGATGGTGCCAACATTGAGACAATTCAGTGTCAACAAACATTCTTCATACCCTTCAAACTCATGTTGGGGGAACTCAACAGCCACTGTATCCACATACTCTGTCATGCAAACACACTTAAGCCCCCCCCACCATACAAGAGCTAGATCACTAGGTGAGAAGAATTAAGAAAAGATCCATGCCCTGTTACATGTGGAGAAGTCTGCAAATGACCTTGGGGTCCAGCCTCTACTTATATCTACAGCAGCTCTCAAGGCCTTCCATTAAATTTTGGGTTAAAAGGGTTCCAACAGTCATTCTGATACGCCAAAACTTGCACATGTTAGCGTGGATAAATTTGCAATGCTGAGATGAACTTTCTTCTATGTTCATTTCTTGTTCAAAAGAGGCCCACTGTACCATTGTCAAAATTGCATTTGCTGTGTTGATAGTGTGTGAAAAATAGATTTTAATTGCACGCAGGCTCATTTTTTTCTATGTTACTGATCATTTGTAAAAGGTGTGTAGTAAATAAGGGGACTTTCAAAGAGGGACAGCAAAATTGGAGTCACAGTACAGCCATTGCGGGACAGAGGAAGTATATTGGCAAACAACTCTACTCTAGTTCTAACTTGTTTGTTGACAGTGACAGAGAGGATGACAGCATCCCTCCCCTCCTGTTGCTGTCAATCCTGTAAGATCTGCTCCTGCTCATGTGACTCTGATTGTTCCTCAATGCCTTCATCATGCTCTGTTCTGGCAACATCAGCAAAGAGAAAGCAAAATCCTTGAACTTGAAACAAACCACAACTTCAAATATGATGTAGTCTGGGGGAAGCTTCTTGGTCATTTAAGAACAACAAATGGCTTGAAAGAAGATCATGATGTTCAAATGATCAATTCAAGAACAATTGTAAAACCTTGGGACAAACTCCCAGAAGACATTGCTCATGCAACATACAGCAATGCAGGCAAATCTGCAATAAATGATGGCTTATTTTCTGAGTTTCTCAAAACAACACATTCAAAGAATATAAATTTCAGGTAGCTAGATCACAAAATTGTAATCAAAGCTTCAAACCTCAAACTAAAGATAGACACCAGAAAAGAATATCAAACATAGTAGACAACAAATTTGCTGGCTCCTTGACAACAAAGGGCCAGATACCAACTTTACCATCAAACCAAGCATTCTTGTGTGAATCAAACCTAGGCCTTGCTGTGGCACCACAAAGGAACATAATTTGGGATCATCTTCATCTCGTAGCAGATAAGTTGTTTGCTTAGTAGTACGCTTCAAGTAAAACCATTTTTTGTCAATATGAATCCAATTGAACCAATCATCAAATCTGCCATCCTTATTAATGTGACTCAATATCCATTCAACTTGCTTGAGTTCATTTTCATCTTTCAGCAAAGGCTTAGTGGTTTTGCTGTGCTTCCTCACAGCACCTTTCTTGACAAGACAGTGCAGACTGGACTCTGGAATACCAGAGGCAGCTGAAAAGGTTCGCAAATGCCACAGTCTTTGAGGGTGACATCTTTGACTGCTTCCAAGTCTTGTAACAAACTTGCTGTCCTACCACACTTGTCCTTTCTTTTAGAGATATCTCCAGCTGGGCATGTGATTGGATTAACAGATTCTTTGTATCTTTTCCAAATCCTTCCAATAGTCATTTTTGACACATTGAAGCTTTTTGCTACTTCATTTTGAGCTCCTTTTGTAAGATCGAGGGCCCCAGTCACTGAGCTTTTCTTGTGTTGCAAGAGAAGCTGGACAATTGCTTGTAGTTGCTGGTTGTTGCTCAAGTTCTTGCTGAGCTTTCTTCTTGCTGCTGGTGGAGTAGAGGATTTGCTGCCAGCCTTGCTTGCTGTCTCACTGGTGGCAATACATTTGCAATAGATCTGTTAAGCACTGCAAGCACAAAAAGAAGCATTCCAATCGCCCAAATATTGAGCTTATTCCACTACAAAAGGTCATAGGGAACACCTATTATGGGACGGAGGAAGTAATTATTTTTTGTTGGAACCTTTTGTTCGATGTGACACCTTGTGGTCGTGCATTGATACTGTAATTGTCAGAATCAACATTAGAGTACGGTACTACCGGTACCCTTCTGTTTTTTTCAGAACGACCTACTGTACTCACTCCTCCATCCTCCACATCGAATTCGGGACGTATCAAATCATTTCTTCTTCAAAACCGATTTTATTCAGCCAGGGGACTCGACAAGACGCATCATCAAAAACATAATTTATTGCGAATTTTGGTGAGTAAATCGTGGATACAGAGCACATATTTGCTCAACAAATGTATCAGAGGATGGATCGTCGGTCCAAGGAAAAAGGCGGCAAAAGAGCAATTCTTGCAGCCTTATTCAGGAGAAAAGAAGAATCCAATGGAACTTGTAGTCAACCAGAGAAGTCGACAATTGCAAAAATGGAAAATAGTAAACCTCTTGATGGGTGCTCATGCGCCAGACGATATCCGATTACAATTGGCATCGATAGTAAGAACGATCAGTCATCTTGCATACTTTCTGTGCGAGGACAAGAACCGAAACAAATGAGATTTGAAAGTGAGACAAGTATCATGGAACAGAGCTTCATGATTCCCGATGCTGAAAATTCTGTGATGGCTTTCTTGCAACGTTTTCGGGACAACGGCGCTCGTTTCGTTAGTTCTGCATATTTGTGAGTGCATGAGGCTATGATTCTATTCCTTTCCTTCATTTTTTCCAGGCATTTCCTAATCGGATCTCTTTTTCAAAAATCAAACGGAATTCTGTCCTAAAAGAATGTCATCCCACGATAGCTTCAACACGTCAATCATTGATGGATCCATCTTCACTTCCCTCTCTGAAGATGTTTTCACTTTGGTCAATGCACAACTTACATTACTCGATGACTTTCTTGAAAGTTCAAAAGTTTCAACGACAGAGACTGGCGATGGTGTAGTCGCCGATGCTTTGCTATCCATATTCAGAATTATACGTTGTAAACAAATACATTATGGTCGCACTTCTCTATTTCTCCACGACTTGAAAAGTTGCATTGCAAGAGCGAATGACTATACAAAAATGACGAGGAAAACCAACAATACTATGCAGTACATTTCTAAAAGACACTACAATCACTTGACTTGGAACGCTGAAAGATCGGAAACGAACTTGTTTGAGTGGGATTCTGCTGCAAGCCTCGTGGAACACGAGGCAGCACGTTTGGTGGACCGACTCAGTTTGGACGCCGTAGAAGCATCACAAAAAGCGGCAATTCAAATTATACAGATAGTCGAATACCTCGATATTCCCCGCGAATTATTTGGCAGACATTGGGAAGAAGATCTCACGAACAACGAAGTGGCCAAATACATAGTAACAGTATTTGGCAACTACCTCTCGGATGTTAAGGATTCTTTAGTTTCGCAATACCTTTATCACAAAGTCGTTGTGGCACTTGTCCGATGCACAGTTTGTTTCTATATAAAACGATTCATTCTCAAAGCCGATAGAGTGAGATACTCTATTCGACAGCGAAGAAATCGCATGAAGAGTCAGGAATTCTTCAGTAATCCAAGGAGAGCACAGATGCGGATGACGCATGACATCGAAGTATTTCAAAAATTTTTCCTCGATGTTTCAGATGGAAGTAAGATACTTCAGAAAATTGTTGCCGATGAATTCTCGGTTTTGGATCAGTTGCTTTTAGAGTGCTCCATCTATGCATTAAGTCGATGCGGTTTTGAGAACCTCGAGGAATTTATCATTGTGGTATACAAACGAAGTGGAGCACATGCAGATGTTACAAGACATCTATTGTCAGACATTTTTTTGTTGATGAATGGAGAAGACAAAGATCGATGCGTAAGAAAGACAATCCAAAATCTGAATGAAGACCTCGATAAGATAAAAGAAAGAATCGTAGAGAGAAGAAATGAGCATCCGTCAGTTCAGACAGCAAAGGCTAATGCTGCCTATTTTTGTCTGGAAGAAATGTTGGAGGCATCATACAACGAAAGAATCATTCAGGAAAATATGGCTCTCTGCGCAGGAGTTGGAAAAGATATCATTGAGCTACGAAAACAAATCACCGGGAGCAAAAAAATACATTGATTAGGACTAATATTTTCCAACTTTTTTTGGCACGTTAGAAACGATCAGAATTTAATGTAGGCCTAATACGATTTTTGATGTACAACTGATCAATGTCATCCCAATCTCTGTTTATGCTTCAACGTGACCTGGTTTCTGGAGGGTGCATCATCTATCTTACCTCTAGAGAAAATCAGCTCGCGCAAGATAGATTCGTCAAATTTGACGATAGCACTGCCGCCATCTGTGAACCAGATCTACTTGACGCAACTGAAATATTTGATTCTAACATCCCTCGGTTCCAGAGGAAGCTGAAAATATTCGAAAGCAAATCACCGTCAACGTACTATTGACATACACCATTCGATTCTTTCATTTTCTTGTTGTTTTGCTCATCGACTTTGGCGGTAGTTGCATTAAGAAAAGCAGTTGCCATTCCATCAGATCTGAGATACTCTTGAAGAAGATTGACACTTAGCATTTTGGCTAAATCAAATGGAAGACACATTCGCTTGTTGGGACCACGATTTGGGCTTAAATGAGTTCCATGCAATGGCCTATATGTTAGAAGAGGAGATGTTGAGTTTGACGGTGGTACTCCTATTTTGCTTGCCTCCACTATGTTGTAAAGGAACATCTCATCATTCCCAGTGGCATCGACACTTGCCTGCGCTCTGATCAAAGCAGGGGTGTAGAATCTTTCTGTTTCAACGAGCATCACTCCAGTTAACCTTCTCTTTAATGTGTTGTAGTTTCGAACAATATTGCTGTATGGCAATCCAAATAATGCCATCTGCTTCATTCGTTTTTCATCAAGAACAGACTCAGTCAAGAATACATCAATATCTCCTAAATAAGTATATTTTGCTGGCTGAGAAGGAACTTCCAAGAACCTCCATGTATTTGTATAATTTGTTCTTTTGCGGTGATCACCACTGTAAGCTCGAACACAAATAGGTCCTAGGGTATCATTATACGACGAAAAAGTATTAAACAACCAGGCCAGAGAAGAGTGATGCCTCTCGATAAAGTTATTCACATCAACCACAACAATCTCCACAAAAGCTCTGCCAATAGATTGATGCGAAGACAGTGCATAAAAGGCATACATAGGAAGCAAGTCCTCATACAGTGCTCCCGTAGCGCATGCAAAAAAGGATATAATTGGCTTCATTTTTTCAATATCCTGTGCTGAAGCAGATTTACAGCGTATGCGATCAAACAGTGACCGTACATTTTTTATTCCAATTTCCGATGTCGGTAGTGGTGATGGTACAGGAGTATTCCTATTGACAGTGGTTGGAGGATTTGTTTGTTTGGTGACATTAGGCTGCGTGTCTTGAACCAGATTCTGCTGACTTTGGTCTCTTCTGGCTTCCGATGTTGAGAGCGTTGATGGTTCAATAACATTGTTATTGTACGAGGTTTTGCTTTCAGACAACGGCTGAGTGTCTTGACGCAATACCCATACCTTCAGAGCCATGCGGTTGAGTAGAATGGTTAATTGTAGAGCAAGAATGAATATTATTCCTGCTTTTAGACGAGTAGGTTTCCCAATAACATCACAAATACTGGTCAAGAAACGTTTCTCGTGGAAACATCCAGAGCCCTTGGGTTTGTGGCCCTGCCATTTCGTCGCATCTGATCCAGTTCTCATATTTTTTTGAGAAGTATTTTAAAGTACTTTACACATCTGTTCTTCGACGTAGTGCTCGATCGATAAGTACGGATTCTCCTCACCGAAATCGCGATGTTCTCCTATGAGTTGACGAGGTAGATTTTTGCGGTATGTACTGGTTTTGAGGCTAAAATGACCAGATTTTTTTCATATTTGTTGTTGCTAATAACCTGCGAAATGTTGGTAGGCTCTTTAGTGTACGATTATACGTGGTTTACAATAAAGAGTGAGTGGATGAGGATACTGCTGTCACTCACTATCTACTCGTGATTTACGTGTTATTCCCTCACATCCAAGAGTAGACTTCGTACGATTTCAAAATACTAGTACTTCAGGTACGAGTACGAACGTATAGTACTGTAGTTAGTTCAGGGGTCATAATTGGGTTATTCCCGTATTTGATAGACAGACAGACCAAAAATTTAGCAATTCTATTACTCCGTCTCCAAAAATTTGTCGCTATCCCTTTTCTGTCCCAAAACATGTGTCAGTTGGTAGTTCCATATTTACTTAACAGTTTTGACAGTTGAATTTAAGGAATGACTATGCAGGCTTATAGTAATTTAAACACCTGGTTACTACTACTACTACGTGTTTCATAACAATTGAATACAGTCTCGCCAGAGAGCAAATTTTTTTAATTTGAAGTTCTAAACTTTGATTTGGAGTTAAGAACTTCAAATGTCCTAGTGGAAAGTCTACTAGTAGATTCTACTGAGGTAGTTTTTGGATGCCATTCATGATTGAAAGGCTGGATTCATGATTGGCTGGATTGCCTCAAACCATTTTTTAATACTAACCCTGAACCATTTTTTTGTTTTGACGAGGGGGGGAATCGATCCAGCCATTCAGTCATTTTTAAAAAACAGCTCAGAAGAACCTGATACATGATGTACAAGCAAAAGTTCATAACTTCAAATCAAAGTTTAGAACTTCAAATTAAAATTTTTTGCTCACTGGTGGAGAGACTGTATTCAATTGTTATGAAATGTGTTGTAATCATGTATGTATGGTTCTAGCCATACTGTATTGCCTCTTCTAGTTCACAAGGTAAAATATGTACTGTAGTACGGTATCAAGATTTTTTTAATTGTCCATGCAGGAGATCATAATTTTCAAACAAATTTTTCAAATGCACAAAATTACACTTTGCTTCTGAAAATTACCACCTAGATTTCCTAAAAATTCCTACATACTAGTACAAACCTGACCAGCACCTTCTGGTGTCTGAACCCACCATGGTGGCACCCCCTTCTGAAGGGGAAACCCACCTCCCTGGCTCCATTCCACACAAGACAAACCAAGCTAATGGCTGTAGATCAGTATCTTACTATTCCGCCCAGCAGATGGCAGTTGGCCTCAGCTGGATCCATCCTAAGTTCTTATAGACCAGAAGAATCTTCTGGTGTTGAAGTTGTTGTTGTTTCTAACATTGTGCTGGACAGCAGCAGCAACAACACCAGCCCCTGGTATTCAACCAAGCTCCCTTTGAAGAACAACACCTGGAGTATATGATATATGCTCATTTCAAGATTCCCTCGCATCTCCATTTTGTTCCAGTATTTACAGACCGGAAGAGGATTCCGGTCACAATGTTGTAGTTTCTGGTATTTGTGCTGGACAGCAACAACAACAACATCCAGCTCCCAGTATTCAACCAAGACAAATTCAAGAACAACCCTTKGAGTATTTGCTAGATCATACTCAGTTTTAAAGAAGATTCACCAGCCTTATCTCCATGCAGTTCCAATTTCATTTAAAGACCAGAAGCCCCAGTGTGTTCTGTTCACGATGTTGTTGTTCAAGACATTCATGTTGGACAGCAACAGCAAAAAGAACCACAGCCCCAGTATTCAACCAAGACCTTTCCTTTGAAGCACAACACCTGGCATCACTGCACTCATTTTAAAGGACGATCCAACAGCCTCAGCTCCACCATGTGCCAGTTCAAGTTACACCAGTATTTCTTACAGACCGGAAGAAAATTCCGGTCATGATGGTGTTGAAGCTGTTGTTGTTTCCAACATTCATGTTGGACAGCAACACCAACAACTCCAGCACACAGTGTACAACCAAGACCTATCCTTTGCAGAACAACACTTGGAGTATATGCTACATAATACTCAGTTTTAAAGAAGATTCACAAGCCCAATCTCCATGCAGTTCCAGTTATATTTAAAGACCAGAAGCCCCAGTGTCCTCTGGTCATGATGTTGTTGTTTCTGACATTTGTGTTGGAGAGCAATAGCAATAACCCCAGCCCCCAGTATGATTCAACCAAGACCAATTCTTTGAAGAACAACACCTGGAATATACTATGTGGCATCATACTCAGATTTAAAGAAGATTCCTGCAACGGATACGTACTGTATTGGAAGTATACATACGAACTGTAATGAAAGCATACATATGTACTACATACGATGCTCCCTCAGAATGGATGGACATACCATTCCTACCCATATATCATAGGGTACTATTTATATATATGTATCATACAATCCATCGTATCGATGATCAAGGATCATAAGAGGTCCAAGATATCTAGAGATAGATTATCTTGCAAAGAACAAAGATGTCACGAGTTCTTAATAGCAAGAACCCTGTGTAGATTCAGTACCAGACCTACACAAGGATCTAATCGGAACTTCGGAATTCTCGACAACTCGCATGATAATCTTTAATCTTATAATTCAATTTTATACACACTTAAAACTCCTACTAAGGGTACACGTAATCTCGTGCAATTCCCTAGTAGTATCTCCATGCTGTTCCAGTATTATTTATGGACCAGACACCCCAGTGTTTTCTGGTCACAAGGTTGTAGTTTCTGGCATTTGGGTTGGACAGCAACAACAACACCCCAAGCTTATGCTGCTCTAACCAGCATTCTCCCCCTACCCCAGTTCTTAAGGACTGGAAGCAGATTCCAGTGACAAAGTTGTTGCTTCCAACACTCGTGTTGGACAGCAACAACAACACCAGCTCCAGTATCTACCAGATCTTATTGATCTATCCTCAGTTTCTTCTTAAAGATGCTTCACAAACAGTTGGTCCTTTTGGGTCTGATGAATCAAGCCCCCATGATATGGACTCTTGATATCAAGAATGCAAAGAATGGAGATCTTCTGGATACAAATACTCATGTAGTGTAGTATGTCCAAATGTTGTTCTCTGCTTTTCATGAGAAGGGTATCCAGTTCAATGAAGCAGAGTTTAAAGGCAAGGGGTCATTTATTAGTGCTCTAAAGCTTGACTTCAACAAGAAGAGAGCTGCAGACCCAACACTCAGAACCAAGAGGACCAAAGCTGAGTTTGATAAATTTGGGGATGCTTAGTTCTTGAAAGTGGCTTGAAACTGGTGTTTTTAAGCCTTGTGAGGACATGCAAGACTTGCTGAAGATACTCACCATGGAGCTGGATCAACAGTTTGGCCTCCCTATGGGGGATAAGATTGTCTTCCTTAACTGGAGCTACTTGAAGCTTGGTGCCTTCCCCCATGGCAAAATGGAGAATGATGGATACATAGTAATTGGTCCAGGGGGAGGCTTTGACAAGGGGAATCAGTTTGGCTTGTGCACCCCTACTGTGAGCAAAATGTTCCTGGTGGTTGTGAAGGACAAGACAAATCCATATTGTATTGTCAAGCTGATCACCTTCTACTGACACAGATGTCATTCAGGTCAATTCCTGTAATATGTGAAAGAGAACAGAGCCAAGGATGATCCATAATACTTCTAGGCAGGCATGCCAGTAGGCCAAGATACTGTAAGGAAGGGGGTTAAGAAAGTAGCAAAAGCAGCTGAATACAAGACTGTTGACAAGTTCACTCCTCATGACAATAGGCATTGCTGCTGTACTGTCCTATCATTGGATGTGAATGTGCCAGAGAAGCTCAAAATGAATCATCTTTTCCACTGTAGTACCAAGAAAAGAGTACAAAAAACTCTTCACACTGGCTTCAACAACAGCAACAGCAACAACAACAACAACAACAACAACAACAACAACAACAAAGCACCAGGGACAGTAGTAGCTCCCCCTCCAACAACTCTGTTGTTGCCTGCTGCTGTCAAGCAACAATCTCCAAGGAATGACTAGAAGAGCTTGAAAAGGTTTCTTTGGCAAAATGTAAAGATTTTGGTTCCCCCTCTGAGCAAGAAAGCTCTGACTGGTGTAACAAGAAAGAACACTGTCTTGGATGAAGCAAAAAAGACCATTCCAGATCTTAACAACAAGATTGCCATTTCCACCAATTTGTTACAGGAGAAGAAACTTGCAATTGGTGTTCAAGAGGGAAAGGATGAGTACAAGTAGAAGGAGCTTGAATKGGAGAAAGCCAGCAAGAGTTCTTGCCTTAAAAAGCAGCTTGAGTCCACATGAAACAACCTCAAGCTTCTGCAGCACATTATTTTGTCAATGCAGACAATGATGCAGCAACACCAAACACCGCAGTTTCAGTTGATTACCTAATTATATAATCAGTGGTTTAATAGTATCAAAGAAGCAGTTTGTGTGCTATTTTGTTGCTGTTAAAAGAACTGAGCTTGCTGGTGCTGCAAGGTGAAGAACAAAAAGATCACAGCAACAAAATATCAGCAGCTTATCATGTAGTAACATGAAAGAATAATATATTCATATCTAATCATTTCTGTATATGAAACAAATGACCATTTGATGCTGATGCATCATCATTCTAGTCAGATACTTTAGAATTGTTTGTGGAAGATTCTCTACAAGACAAGCACAATAAGTGAAGTAAAAGGCTGAACCATAAGTATGTACTGATTGCTTGGATTTTACTCACAAAATACTAATATCTAATATACTTTGCAGCAGAAATTTTATAGAAAATTCAAATTTTAGCAGTCTAGTGCTACTAGTGCCTTGATTTCTAATTTCGTCCTAGAATCTTGCAACAATTTTGTACCAGAAACTTATAATCAGTCCACTTCTTTGTTGAAACAGGAAAAGCGGCATCGAGAGGAACTGGGGAGGGAAAAGAGCCCATTCCCCTACATTGCTAAGGCAGTGTTTGCAGAACTAGTTTATTTGCTTGATCCAGGGAGGAACTGGAGAGGGAAGAGAGGAGCCAATTTTCCTACATACTAGCAGAGGCAGAGGCAGTGCTTGTAGTTCATTTGCTGGATCCACCAGGGAAGGACCGGGAAGGGAAAAGAGCCCATTCCCTATATCATCAGACACTAGTGCTTGTAGTCCATTTTCCAGATCCAGGGTGGGAAAGAGCCCATTTCTCTGTAGTCAGAAGCCAGCGCTTGTTGTAGTACTAGTTCATTTGCTGGATCCAGGATCCAGGGAGGGAAGAACTGTGGAGGGAATATCACACTATGTACTCACATGTACAGCACAGAATGACTGCAACATAACAGGTATATTTCACATTTCTGGTTACACTTGTGGTACTACTGTATTACACATGCAGACCATGTAACGCCACAGTTATTAGCATACTGCCTTCTAGGGAATTTAGTATGTAGAATCATGGAAGTCAAATAGAATAAAAAAGTACAAGAATACTAGTTGTTATTTGACTGGAATTGTCCTTCTAGAGCTGGGGCGTTTGAGGGGGAGAAAAACGTAAAATCATGGTATCAATATATTTTTAATGTAGAGCATGTACTAGCAGGTTGAACACATTTTTTGAAGAAATAAAGTTCCAGAAATGAGATGCTGGTGGCATGTGATTAGTCTGCTGATATGATATTCAACATTTGAATTCCACTTGCAGGGCAACGCAAATTTCCTACTATGGGGGCGTAAAAAAATGAGAAATGGGTTGCAAAATGAGTACATTACGGCACTGTGTGTACTGTACGGTACGTCACTCCTACAAGTAGGTATGTCTCTCAAATGTTTGACCTTTGCATTGAGTGTTTTTCCTGTTCTCTAGCAAATTGTTTAATGAGGTTTGCTGGTGGGATATCCATGGAACTGAGTGATGATTCACTGTCGATTGGTGTGTTGGGGTGGGGTTGGTTAGTTTATCAAGTATTTGTTGTCGGGGGTCTTCTCTGGAGGGTGGATCCAGGCTGGTGCTCAGGAGGTGTGGGAGAGGTTTTGATTGTCTCCAAGCAGTTATTGCTTCCGGTAGTGTATCCCTAGTGAGTGGAAGAATTTTATTCATATAGTTAATTAAGGCAACACTGTAGTGGTATTGTGTGTCTTTGTCAATGATTGTGAAATGGTTCCTGTGGAGGAGATCTCATAGGTTGTCACCAAGTGCTGTTAGTTTATTGGTGCTACTGAGTTCCTTGGTATGGACAACAATGAGGTGGGCCATGTAGCTTGATGGTGATGGTGGGTATTTGGGTTTAAACGCAAAGAGCTCATTGTCATAGATCGCTGGGGCAGCTGTTGAGTGTGCGGGAAACACTCGTTCCAGGGCCCTGAGTTCTCTTTGGATTGTCCTGTCATATGGGATAAATTGGAGGTTTGAGGCTGTTGTGGGTTGTCAGGGAGGTGTTTTTACAATGTATTTGTCTATCTCTGGGTTTTTGGGTTTGCGGTTGCTGCTCCAGTTTCCTCCGCCTGGTGTTGACAACCGCTTCTTTGTCGGTGCCATGGTGATGCACTCCTGTTGAGGAGGGTACTGGTGGTTTGTACTGGTGGTTTTGTACCAGTGGTTTGTTGAGACTGGTGTTCTGGAAATTTGTATCATAGAGTGCTATGTGATTTGTACTGGATTCTCTTCCAGGAATTTTGCTGCTGAGGATGGAAAAATTTGGCCCGATCAGCATGGCAAACTTGGCGTGAAAGTACTTGCTGCTTGTTAGAGCATCACTCTGTAGCCAAGGGAATAGAAAATCAATCTATTGGAAAGGTTGTTATACTGATGATGGTGATGAGCTGAGGCGGGTCTATTGTTGCTCATAACATATACCAGTACTCTTTAGTACTAGTGTCCTTCAGTGTCGTAATATGGGGATTACAACAAAGAGTGAGTAGATTCCTGTCACTCACTATCTACTCGTGATTTACCCAGAACAACTATATAGACCCCTGAGCGGTTTCAGCCCACAATTTTTCTACTGGAGAGTGAAATTCTGGCTGGTTTTTGATGGTCCCCACACAAACACTCAAAAAATTGTTAGGGTCATTTTTACAGTTAAAAAAAATGTTTCAAATTATTTAATTTATTGCTGGTCCCTAAATATTTCTATTAGTGGTCCTTACTACTGGAGAGGTAAATTCATTGGTTACTACTTGAGAATTACTATTAGGGAATACTACTGGAAAACCTCTATTACTACTTATACTTACTACTGGGGATGTTATAGTACTAATGACGAGCAGCACAAACAAAAAAACCTAACACGGCAGTTCGCAGTGCTCATTACTATAACATCCCCAGTAGTAAGTAGTAATGGAGGTTTTCCAGTAGTAATCCCTAATAGTAATTCTCAAGTAGTAACCAATGAATTTACCTCTCCATTACAGTAGTAAGGACCGCTAATAGAAATATTTGAGGACTAGTTTTTGTGTGTGGAGGGGGGGGGAGAGGGGAAATAGAAATGGGAGAAAAAAAAATCGAATTATTGTCGAACGAAACGTCTATGGGGTCTATTTAGTCGTTCTGTACTGCCGTGCCTCACACTCGCAACCATGTTAGAAGGGGGGCTTCGATACCGCACCGTACGTATGAAATCAGAAACCAAGCAATCATCGTAGATCGCAACCTCTGGAGCTACACAAGATTGCTTGTGATAGCTAAAACAGAATACATTGTATTGGGGAGTAGTTACAGTAATAGCAGATTTTGAACGATGCCTACGGTAAAAGGAACTGCCTCTGTGGCCGATTCTCGAGCAAGAACGAAGGCTTTGAGAAAAACACGGTTTCCGCGTAATTATCGTACATCTGTCGATATTGAGAAGGTCAATAAACCTGTTCTGACGCAATGGATAGAACAAAAGATTGCGTCTATACTCGGCTTCGACGATGAGATCGTTTCTTCTACAGCTATAAACTTATTCTTACCTTCTGACAATTCTTGTGATCCGAAAAGAGCACATCTAGATCTCGCAGGTACGTTACTTAGCCGACTGATGTCGGTGATTGAATCGAGGCTCAAAGTTAACAATTTTACAATCGAAACTAACCCCTTTCTTGCATTTAATAAACAGGCTTTCTAGGGGACGAGACTGCTACATTTTGTGGAGAATTGTGGACCCTAATGCTTGAAGCGCAGGCCAGTGCTTCCGGTATTCCAAAAACCTTGCTGGAACAAAAAAAGAAGGAGATGGCAGAGGAATTGAGTAAGGGTAACGAACCGCAGCGACAACAGCTCGCACCATACCAAAATCAATCTCTTGGGTCGTCTGGAAAACCAAGTAGATTTAGTCGATTTGCCCCAGATAGAAGCAATCCTAGCGGTCGCAGCTCATTAGACAAACACGAAGACGCAACCAATAAAATCAAATGCGAAACTCACATTTCCATCGAAGAGACATCACAAGAACACACAAATGGAAAAGAAAAAGGTAGTGGAAGGAGTCGAGTAGAAGATGCCTATGAAAAACAGAACATGGACCAATTTGGCCGTGTCTTGTCGACAGAAAGATCACTGGAAGTGCAAAAACACACTTCTCGTAACCAACGTGACCGCAATGGGTCTCGTACGTCTGAATCATCCCGACATCGCAGAGATAGGAGCCGGAGTCCTAGAAAATACAATGGAAGGGAGAGAGAGGCCTCAGATCACAGACGGCGCTACGATAATAGGTACCACGGGACGGATGGTGATCGGAGACGTCCTCAAGATAAGAGATACCATTCCAATCAATACGATGATCGCTCGGGCTATCACGATCAATATCACCGTCAGTATAATCACAGCTATAAAAATCATCATGATCGGGATCGCAGTCGGGATCAGTATCGTGACAGTCGAGATTGTCGTCACGAGATACATGAAATGGAAAACCTCGAACGGCGCCTTACCCGCCTGAGGAAGGAATACTCGGGATGGGATAGAAACAGTGCAAATCGAAGCACACACAGGATCGAGGATGAGATGAACGATATTCAAGACAGACTGTATGAGCTGGAACAACGCCGGCGTAGGTACGCTTCCTACCGCGAAGATGATCGTCGTCGCTGGAGCCACCGCGATAGATTCCCTAGCTACGAGTATCAGCGAGAGGGACGACGCAAACGGAGCAGCAGCACAAATTCGGAAAGTTCGCGGTCAGTGCAAAGTGATGCTAACGACAACGTAGCAAATGGTTCTTCCGATGGAAGTAGCCGACGAAGCTACAGTCGATCTCCCGAGAGAGCAAAAAAGAACAAGAATAAAAGCAGTAAGAAACGGCAAAGACGTCGTCGATCGAGGAGTCCAAGCAGCAGCAGCGAACGATCTTATCAATCATAGTCTTTTACAAACAACCCAAGTACAATTAATCCAGGGCAACTCATAATGGAATATTACATGTTACTTTATATCAATATCTGATTGATCATCGCATTCTGAATTAGCACTGTGCAATAATTTTTCAGCCCCAGGCCTGCTGTAGACTGTAGTGAATGATTAGTTCCCCCCGCTTCGAAAATGTCTCGTTTAAATCTCCTAACAACTCATCTGGTCCGGGGCAAAAAGCGGCATGGAGGTAAAGGAACAATGAGTCCCCTTTTTGGATCTTCAACACTTTTCGCAAGAAAACGTGAACGGAGGCAAAACGTTGGTCTGCTGATATCTGAAACTTCGTCTTTTTCATTATTGGAGCCGCTCCCACTGATACAAAGTGAACCTTCACCTTTGTGGTTGGTGATGCATGTCGTTCATTTTTTTCTTCGTACGACGCGGTCGATGTTGACATCGTGAATTGATTCGTGCGTACGGCAGGCAATTGCAAGCTGAAAATAATCTTTTTTAGGATTGTATGATCAATTTTTCAGATTTTGGTCTCATCCCACCATGATGAACAGGGTCTTCCGAAGCTGTGGATTTGTCGAGTGTAACTCTGTACTGTTTCTCTTTCCTCTGTAAGGCAATATGCGGGTCTTCGTAGAATGGTTCAGGACGAAGAATAAATAATTACTTCGTAGTAAATTACAGGACAGTGCCCTTGGCGTACTTTCTCGTGTCCCTGCCAAGTGCGATGACAAATGCTGAGTTGAACGATGCCAACCGGAACCGTTGCAGAAATGCTGTCATCCTTCGCACTCGAGGGCACTCGGGGAGAGCGCTTCTACCTGCCACAGCTACTACTCCACGAACACGAGTAAATTTCCCACAAAATTCCTTATTTTGTACATTGGGTCATTCCCGCATGTTAAATCTGCACCAACTACGTGATTTAGGTATGGTAATTAGATGATTTGAATATTATGAAGATTATGCTATTAAAGTAAAGAGAATCTGTCCAATTGGTGTTCATGACATCCAACCCAGGACTTGATTCTGGGACATCTGATAGGTTTGGCCACCTTGGATGTCTATATATGCCCTATAGTTCTTGCAACTATGGGATGACTCATAGGACCCATGTTTGTTGCAAAATCCATAGGTTAGCGGGAACAATGTTTTCAGTGGTTGCACTACTGTAAAAGGGCAGGACAAGGACATATGTAGAGGCTTTCCACAGAGGAAAGAAGGATGCCACAAATTGCATTCATCAGGATGAATGAATCCCCCTTTATGTTTTTGTTTGGTAGTGGTGATGACCAGGCTCCTTATCTTTCTTTGAACTGCTCTGCTGTAGACTATTGTCCTGTCTTCAGGCACCTCCTTTCCTTCTTTGAGCCAATTTTTGATAGATATACATTGGATAAAACAACCCTGGAGATCAGATATCTATTCACTAAGAAAGACAAACCAAAGGGCAATAAGAGGGTAATTTCTGTCACCATTGGACTTGCAATAGTATTGACTTGGTTTGGAACTAGTAGTAGGACCTTGTTATCTATGGTATTTGGTCTTACTTCAGCAACACCCCTCTATAAATGGTTGAAATATTCCTGGAGACTTTTTCTTTCTATGTTGAAAAATCATTGGAATGCTATTATTGCTAGACCCCCATGTGACAAAGAAATAGAGGCATATGAGGCAGCTATCGGAAGAAAGTATCCTGCATATGGAAGAAATAGGGTCTGGAGTGTAGCTGATGGCCTTAAAGTTAAGCCTTGCATTCAAATGACCACATATAACTGCCCTGGGACATGACATGACAGTTCCATGGCCAAATATGGCATACTAGTAGTGTATGACATGATGGAAGCCATACTATATAACAGGAACAGGGATGGAGTTGTTGGAGTTGTTGTCAATTCTGCACTTTAGGTCAAGGGAACAGATGGCTTTCTTATTTGGAGCCAGAAAAATGATCCAGATACCTTTGATACTATGGTTGAAAACACCCAGGCTGTAGTAATCAATAGGCAAGCAATGGATGTCCAGCAGTTGTCTGAATGAGGCATGAGAATGATTCAAGGGCAATTCCTAAAAATGAAGGAGAGGCTTCTTACTCTGGAGGAGCTTGGGGATAGGGAGATCATTTTAAACCTCTTCTTCTTGTTGTAAAATTATCAATGAAGTGTTATAGGTATTAATCAGATCCTCAACAACTTCCAGTGGATTTCAATCCTTTCAAGAGCTGAGAGAATCCTAGGGCAACAGACATGTATGATACTTTTTTATTCTATTGAGCCAAATGCAGACACCAATAGTTTGTTTCATGGCTTATTCTAGCAATGATGAGAGCAGACAGCAAGGAGATTGTTGGTTGTTTGGAAGAGGGCAGACAATGAGAAGGGATTGTTGGGAATTTCCATGGTAAAGATGATTGTTGTTTAGTTGGGTTTAGTTCTTTAATTAAAGATAATTAGTAGTACTAGTAGTGATTACAGTTAAAATGTACTCCAGTTAGTATTATCAAGGATGAGCTAAATCAGGATCCTAAGGAAGGAACCCACCTGATACACTGTGCTATAAAGGAGGAATTAACACAATACACTGTGTTATTTTGTCTTGATGGTTGTTTTCTTGTATTCATTCCCACAAAAAACAGTACTGCTAAAACAACAAAACAGGAGTGCTACTAGTAGAGAGGGAACTTGTTTCACATGCTGGAAGCAATCCCACCACAATTTTTTTGCATGAATATCCATCAATGTAATTTTGGGATACTAGTTGCATGGAAGCAATCCCACCATGATTGCTAGCATGCTCCCTTGTTAAGAGGGAATCTTCAGATTGATTCCAACCAACATGTAATATAATGTAGGAACACTGTTGTTATTCCAGCAGTATAGTATCATAAATCCCAAACCAAACAGGAGGGAGCAAACAGCACTCTTCTAGACTAGCAGTACACTACTAGTTTAGTAATCTTAATCTTAGTTTGTAAATAACCTTGGAATTCTTATTCAAAAAAAGCTTGAGTTGATGCTAGAGTAAGCTGAGGGGTAAGCTGAGTTTGCACTATCTGAGTGGTGATTTCTTGATTAGTAAGCTAAGTGAGCTTCCAAGTCAGTGTTTCTCAATAAAGTTGTGAAGGCTGTTGAGGAGGAGGACTGTTGTTTAAAGTGTGTTATCCTCACTAATCTTGTATCCTTCTTCCAAATCAAATTCATCCTCTCCATCTCCACTGTTGGCCTTGATCCCAATCAAATGCTTGATCTCCTTTGCAAGCTTGATGGCAGGAGTTATGTTTGGATTCCCAGTAGGAAATGGTTTCTTGTGGAGGGTTGAGTACTTCCTAGTGATGGAATCTTTTAAATCCTCCAGTATTCCAGTTTTCTTAGTAGTGGCTTTAACAACTACTAGATCCCATTGGTGTGATCTAATAGGAAAGATCTCCCTCTGGGTCTTCACCATGGACATGGTCTCCCTAAGGCTGTAATTACAAGCACCATGTCTTGGAGCCAATGCGACTGCTGATGGAGCTGGAGCCATGGTAGATACAGAGGAGGAAGAGGAGTCATTTGAACTGCCCGTTGCTCTTTTATTATGATCCTCCATGCTATTGATGTGTATGGCATACAGGACTTTGTGGTCTTCCTCAGTCTCAAGGCACTGCTGAAGCTCCTGCATCCTTCATAACAAAAGAATGCTGATACTTGTAGTACTGTTAAGTAGAGGGCTACAGATGCCATTCCATCCCATCATGGTCAGCACACTCCTCTTCTCCAGTACTACATTGTTCAGTTTTCCTTCTTGGTGTGTTGCATGTGTGCATTCCTGTTTTGCATGTGTTCTAGAAATTTTCAGTTTGGCACCCAGTGACTGTCTTTTAAGGTGGGCCTGTTCACAAGACTAAAAATGTTTAGTCAAGGATTCCAATAGAATATGCTGAATCTTGATACATAAATCCTGGTTATTGTGGGCTTGCTACAACCGGAATTCATGTATTTGAGTACATAAAATGAGCTGGCCAGGGCAAAAAAGACCTATCGTATAGGCTGGGCCAAGCAAAAAAAGACGGTTTAAACCGTACATTAGCAAATCAAGATATACATAAACGAGTATCAGTCAATATTCGTCGTACGCCGTACTCCCCCACGCCATTAGAAAGCTCTTTGAATTCTCTTTTCAACCATGTGCTTATCATACTTAAGCGTCCGTTGGGGAAAAAGTTATTGCCCAAACTGTCAGTTCGGGACTAAAACAGTTATACGGTTAAATTATACGTGTGCGTGGATTAGCGGCCATCTAATTACCGTGTAATGACTCATGGGATTAAAAATTGGCTTGTACTGCAGTGTACAGCGGGCATGTGCTGAATTTTTGAATTACGAAATCCACGTGCTCAGTAGTACGTACCGTAATCGAATTTTTGAATCCCACCAAAATAGTTTTGCTCGCACGTGCAAAATAGTTCCGCTCGCACGTGCCGGCTGTAAACTCCAGTACAAGCCAATTTTGAATCCCACGAGTCATTACACGGGAAAAAGATGGCCATGAATCCAAGGTTTAAACTGTACATTGGCTGGCCAACGCTATACGATATGTATGCAGCAATGACCTATTGTTACAGATTACAGATAAAATATTAGTTCTTTGTCGTGTGCTGCAAGTTGAAGTCAAAGGGTTATCTTATTACTGAAACAAGGTACGTCTCATTACCTTGACTTTATATTTTCTCAAAGAAACAGCCATTTATTTTGTAATAGTCTATGCTAAATAGAACTTGTTGCAGGATTTTTAGTATGTTTTCACACCCTCAGAGTCCCCTTTCCATCAACTATGCAATTCAAAAAACACTATTGTAGTATTTTTTCTTTTCAACTTCCATGCTTAGTAAAAGCTTTTTCGGCTTGTAATGCTTGTTGGAAGATACTAGGTAAGAATTTAGTTAATGTACTACCACTATTACTAGTAGTAGAGCATGGTGGTTCTTGTAACAAGAACATGGAGGGTGATTGTGCCAGTACCACTGCTGACTAACTGCTACTAGTTGTTGTAGTACTACTACTACTGCCACCACCACCACTTTCCTCACCAATAGGAGCAAGAAGAATGCCAGCGGTGTTACTTGTTATTTTTCTTCTTTTGTTGATAACCTTTTGGTCAATATGTTACCTTTGCCTGTGAATACCTTGCATAGAAAGCAAAATGGTGAATCTTCTCAGTATTGCAGATGGCTCTCCCGGAGCAGCAGGAGAGCAAGAGAATGATGTTGCTGTGAGAGACATGCTGCCAGTTATTCAGTTGAATGTTGTAAACACCAGTAGCAACAAGAATGAGTGAATCCAACTATAGAAGCAACAACCAATGGTGACTAGTGAATACAACTGTAGTTGGTAAGGATAAGGACTATGAAAAAGTAGAAATTACAGATTAGCAGTTATTATGGGTTCTTTGTAGAAGTAGTACTATTACTAGTAATAGGTCAAGCTTAGCATGTATAGTAATTGGCAAAGGTGGCACTGGTCATTATAGGTTACATGTTATGAGTACTAGCAATTCCATGTCAGTTTGTCATGTTCTTCTTCTTAGGGTAACTCAGACAATTTGTTTGGCAAAATTTGTGAATCATTGAGTTGTAATTGTTGTGACATACTACATCATACTAGTATGAATAAGCATTGTGCAATAAATCAATGATTCTGTCAGCAATCTGTTGTGAAAGGTCAAGTTATCATATTGATCTAATATTAGTGAAGCAATGTTGATGTGTGTCTGTGCAATTTTTTTCAGTGATCAAATCAATTATCTCCAATATCTAGCTAGCTCTTGCCTTCTTTGTTGTCCACTCACAACATCAATGTATCCTCTATTGCATAGTGTTGGTAAGCATATACATCATGGTGTAAACAATATCTTTTTGGTCCTCTTTTTTCTCCACATCAGATATTATTGGCACATCAATATTCAATAAGTTTTTTTCTGAACAAAGTACACAAGTTTTCTTCCATTAAAGAAATTGATTTGGTAACAAAGAAATGACTTTTGAACAGTTTATCTAGTGAATAAAGATTGAATACACCCACTGGTAAAACCTCAGAATGGCTCTACCAGAAACAGCATTTGCAAGGAAGGCATTGTAAATATTTTATTCAAAGTAACCAAACCGTTTTGAATCTATTTATGTCATCTCATGTTTTTGATTTCCATAACATATTTGGGAGACCTGTTCCAATTGGTATAGGAGTCCCCATGATGATACATTCACTGACGCCAACGATTTCATCGGTTCTACCATGAACAGCAGCATCAAACAAGTGATCAGTTGTCTTTTCGAAGATGATCGTTTTTCAAAAGATTGAACAGAGAAGATGAGAGAAGAAAATTTGAAAAAGAAAAGCCCATTTCGTCACATAGATCACTAGGGATGCTGCCGCAACGAATGAAAACAACATATGTCCGCACTAACCTTTTCAAACGACGCCAGATGCAACACACTTTCACGCATCTTAGAAACCCCGAATCTTGTGATGCCAAGTACTTCCCCTTTGAATGTCATTACATCCGAAAGCAGCAAAAGATGTCTGCTATCGATACCAATTCCATACGCGGACATAATGTAAGAAATTTCTGACGAGATCTGAGTGCGTGCAGCTTCGACGCCAAGCACATTTTCTACTTCAATAATGTGATTGGTCCACGTATGATTTCCGTCAATGCCTGGACTTCCCATCACATCTTGTAGGCCATACCCTTCCACAAGAAGATTGTAAGTCTGCTTCCCATCTTTATCAGTCTCGTTGATAACAGCACGATTTACCGAAGGAATTCCCTGAACAATTACATCGGGAAGTACAGTTTTTAACTGCTGCATACAGAAATAAGTCGACCCTTTGTTGCGTGAAGGAACATAAATTCGTAGCTTGTTATTACAGCCTCGTTTGACTTTCACATCGACGTCATCTAGCAGACGCAAAGTTGCAGGTCTCGTGACTCCTCTACAGCCGCGTAAAATGGAATTTCTCACACTTTCCGAATCAACATTGAGCTTTAGTTGGTCAATTGCATCTGAAGATTCAAACAGAATAAAAAATAGTCCAATAATATGTGAGGGAGAGATGATAGAAAACGCCTCGGGGCTTGAACAAAATCACTTACCCATATCAAGTTCAATACTAATATAGCAAGCGTTCGAAGCAATCACTTCTTTGATATATTTTGAAACTTGCCCAAGGGTAGTCTTCTCGATTCCAGCTTTAACGACACGAGCAGCGATTTTATTATCATCCTGTTCCAATTTAACAGTAATAATTGGAGTTGAAATGAGTTTTGATGCATTGATGATTTCTTTCAGTCGAGGAACCCCAAGGGTAACATTCATGGAACTAATTCCAGAGAAGTGGAATGTCTTAAGCGTCATCTGGGTGCCTGGCTCACTAATACTTTGTGCACCGATTGCACCGACGGCCTCTCCTGGTTCTACATAAGATGCAGTGCACTTCTCTAGAGCAATGTCAAGAAACTTGTTCAGCTGACTGAGTGTGAATCGACACGAGGTCCAAGTCAAGGATGAAATTTCAACCGCTTTTCCCTTGAAGTCATTGATGAGTTGTTTTTGCTTCTTTGCCATGGAGCAAAAGAAGTCGTTGATCTCCTTTAAAATCTCAGCTCCCTCAGGTAAGAGACTTTGAAATCTCTTCTCTCTCAACTTCAATCCAACGATTTTTCTCAAGTCTTCTGGGCCTAGTGTATCTTCATCTCGGCACGGAAAATTCTCTCGAATTGTCATTGATAAGCGATCAAAGTCCACGGGACGGTCGTTGTTTTCCATCGCGTTAGGATTCAGCCCGTCATCTCCATAAATGAATTGAACAACGGTGTTTTCACTGTTTCGAACCGTCTTATCGTATTGCATAGATAGATCCTCAAGAGCCTTCATAAGTCGTCTTGCCATGTACCCGGTTTCAGCGGTCTTCACTGCTGTATCAACTAACCCTTCACGTCCACCCATTGCGTGAAAAAAGAATTCTGTTGCTGTCAAGCCCGTATAGAATGAATTGGCGACGAATCCTTTTGCGGACGGCGTGAGACTCTTAACTTCGAAGTGTGGAAGAGTTCTGTCCACAAAGCCGTTTTGAATACGCATTCCACCAACAGCTTGTTGGCCTACACACGATATCATTTGGGAAATATTTAGAGGACTTCCTTTTGATCCACAGGCTGCCATGATGCGTGGCGCATTCGACCAAGGCAATTGTTTCATAGCTTCTTGTCCTGCAGATTCTCGGAGTCTACCAAGGATTCCGTTTAGGATCTCTTCTAAACTTTGCAAAAGATCACAACCCGGTCTCAATTCTAGCTCCCCATTTTCGTAGAGATCAAGATTTGACTCGGACTTTCTATATCCTTCAAGTAAGATTTTGTGCTTCATTTTTGTTAGGTCGTCAGAAGGCGTGACGTCGGAAATCCCTATCGAGAAACCTCGATGAATGCCCATGTATCTTCCACAAAATTTGGCCCAGCGATCTAAAAGTTTTGCACTTTCACGAGAGCCATAATCACGAAGAACAGTAAAAATCAAGCCTGTCTTACTACCGTCTCCTATCGTTTTTTTGGCAATGTTTCCAGATATTAGTTCACCATTACGAAAGTCAACCCAACCATCATTTTTACAGAAGTGTTTGTTGCTGATATAGTTCTTTTCTTTCGTCGCGAAGCTGACTTCGATTTTTGTCTTGTCATTCGGTTGAAGCATTGCAGTAAATACTTGTTTCCCAGTCCAAAGGTGCATTGGCTTAACAATTGTAGGCGGTGGGATGTCGATCTGCTCTCCGGCATCACCAAAGTATGTTACAAGTTGGCAGAATTGTTCATGCGTATAGAACCGATCATTTTGCGTCAAAATGTAGGACGCACTCAAAAAATCCTGACTGGCAGCCACGAGCGGTTCTCCATTTCGCGGTGTGGTCAGATTGTTATGAACTCCCATCAGGAGGTTTGCCTCTGTGCGAGCTTCTTCTGTCTGGGGCAGATGCATATTCATCTCATCACCATCAAAATCAGCATTATAAGGAGCACAAACGCAAATATTGAATCGAAATGTTCTCCACTCCATGACCTTTGCTCTGTGTGCCATGATTGAAACTCTGTGTAATGAGGGCTGTCGGTTGAACAAAACAATATCGCCATCTTCCATGTGCCGTTCGACAATATCACCCTCCCTCAGGCTACGTGCTATTTTTTCTCTGTCACCGAATGCTAGAGATTTGTCGAATCCTTTTGCATCCCCCGTACGAACTAGATTCGCACCCGGATGCATATGAGGGCCGTTTCTAACCCTTTGTTGTAATTTCTTTTTATTATAACGTGACACTCGTTCTAATTACAAAGAAAAGCTGCGTAAGACATCATCATATGCTCTCGTTGCGACATGAACCAAGCTTGCAAAGCAAATACTAACCTGGGTAAGTCATCGTCATCGCAACCCTTTTTGGGACTCCTACCTGGTCGACCAACAAGTTTGGATCAGGGGAAATTACTGTACGAGCTGAAAAGTCGACACGCTTCCCCGATAGATTTTGTCGAAATCTTCCTTGTTTTCCTTTCAGCCGCTGACACAAACCGCGCATTGGTTTGGCACCAATAGGCCTTTGGAGACCAGGCATCTCTCCATTGAAATACTGTGCTACCTGTGATTGCAAGTAGTCCCATTCTTCCATAATTGTACGAGGGGGATTCCCTTTGGTCAATGCCATCTCGAGAGCCACGTTTATATCAAGAATTTCCTGCAGTTTCACAGTTAAGTCATCCTCATTCGAACCACCCCCGAATTCTACTTTCACACCTGGTCGAATCGGGACGGGTGGGACCAGTATGCTCTCTAAAATCAAATTCTCTGGCCTTCCAATCAATGGATCAACCCACATGACCTCGCAATCTTCGTCGGGGATCCGTTTAAAAATTTCCAGCACTTTGTTTGGAAGTAAGTCTTCAAACGGTGGGGTTCCACCAGTCATCACTGAAATCAAGTCCTTGTTGTGATCCATGGCCATTGATAAATTATCCATTAGTTGGTCCAATTCATCCTCCGAGTGTCTGCCCTTGAATTTTTCGTGAACAATCTTTAGGGTAGGAGCCCCCGTGATTTTTTTGACAGTCCCATTCACTGCTCCACAGTATGGACATTGCTTTGATTTCTTGCACTTCTCAATAACTTTCTTCAATGTTGCTGTTTTTGCTAAGACGTCGGTCTTTGGATTCCTCATTTTTGCCAGGTATTGTTCTCGCTCGGAGTTATCCAGAAGGATTCTGGAGCAGTTCTTACAGACGCACTGCAAGAGGTGTAAAGTGTGCCGAAGATAGCCAATATGGAAAACTGGCAAAGCAAGCCGAATGTATCCAAAATGACCAGCGCAATCTTGCAATTTTTTTTTGCAGGTATGACAGGTTGAGACCTTATCGGATACGCCCAACCGTGGGTCCAAGCAGCCACCGGGTGCAGGGTTCCGAGATGGCATAGAAAACAATTCGCGAGAAGTCACCTGAAATTCTGCAAGGCGTTGCATTTCTGCTGGTGACAAAAGGCCAAACTGAATGGATTTAATTTTTTTCGGGACATTGTCCCCCTTGATCAAGCTTTTTCGACCTATGGTCGGTGTATCGTTGTTATCGTTCGCACCATTTGTCCATAAGCTAGTTGACGCCATTTCATCAAAATGACTTGCACCGGGTGCAAAGAAAAGAGTGATCCACTGTTGTAATACTGGCAGTCCTCACAGACTAGACGCAGCTGCCAACACCGAATATTTGACGTGGTGTTTGGACAAATTATTTGGCAAGACCGGTAGTTTTATGAATGAAAGTTGTTGCCTGTTTCAGTAAGCTGCGTCGATTTCTTATTTTCAATTTTGTCTTCGAGACATAAAGCGCCACGAACAATCAATCTGATTTATTGTAGCCAATCTATCGGTATTGGATCTAGTTTGATGGATATGATCAGTTGATGGTTTGTCAAAATTCCGAAAACAAAAATACTAAAAGTATGAGCAATAGTCGTACGAGTACTCGTACCGGTTCGAACCCATCAAGAGTTTGATGTTGTTCTTGTCACCGTGAGAGAGATTGATGGCGGTCAGAGCAGCTTTTCCACCAAAACAGAGACAACTACTTCTGGTCCTCGTCCCAATAGACGGGACTGGATGAAAACGACTAAACAGGAACCATGTCGATTTCAATTTTTTCCGGGAAAAATGAATTCCCGAATACCCATTCTTCACTAATGTGATCAAAATTGATCACAAAAAATTGCGATCAGAAATGATCACAAAATCTTGATCACATTTTTTTGTGATCAATTTTAATCACATTTTTTTATGGAATATTATTACATATTGCATGACTTCAATGAATTATATTCATGTATGCAATGTATATCAAAGTACATAGTAGTAGTAGTAATCGTAGCACATGGGATTTATTTTATATAGTAATTAAATTTTTTCATTCTCCCATCTCCATTTCCCCTCTCCCCTCCTCCACCACACACAAAAACTACTACTGAGTCCTTTAATGTTTCTATTAATGGTCATTACTACTGGACAAAAGGTAAATTCATTCCTTTCTACTTGAGAATTTGCATTGGTGCTTACTATTGGAGAACATTAGTGCTTACTAGTATTGGAGACAAAATATTAATGAGCACTGTGAATTGCTGCTGGGTAAGGGTGTTCTGTACTGCGTGCTGCAAGGAGCCACAGAGGATCTACTATGCTGTCTTGTTGAGGCTAGTACTTGTAGCACTGCTAGAAGTAATGAAAATTGTAGTAATCCAGGCCATCTGCAAAGACTTTTGCCCCCAAAAGAAACTTAAGCTGTGTAATCACAACAACAGCATCAAAACACTGTCCGTGTCTCTTCATCATTCCCTCTTTGTTTGGCTTCAAGTGCCTGAAATGAGTAGTGGGCACATTGAACTGTTTCAGTCTGCTGTTCACACTTCCTGCTGGGCCCAAACATTTGATTTCATCTTCCTTTCTCCACTAGTCATTCCCATTGATGGATGCTTCAGTCAAAGGTCTCCCCCATACTCTTGATCTGCTTCCACAACTTTCTCTGGTGGATAGAGTAATTTATCCAGCCCTTCCTCAAATATAGCATTATCATTTGTGTTTGCCTTGAAAGGACCATTTACCCAAACAATGAACCCTGTCTTCAAGCAAACAGCCACTTCATACTTCATGTGTAGATAGTGAATAAGCTCACTCTTTATTATAAACAGGTATTTTGCTTTGAGGAAGTAGAATACATGGGGACTATTTTATATGTTGTTTAAAAAATACTGTGATCTACAGGGAAGAGCAGGGACGTGTCAAAAAATTATCGACATGCAGAAAAAGTTGGCATGCTGGCCAGGAAAAAGGAATGGTAGATAGAAGTGTGCGCCTGTTTCACGCTTGTCATTGCCCCTACATACATGACTAAAAAATGATTGTTGTACAGTATGGTTTTCACATAAAATTGAACTACATGCCTTTAAACTATTACTACTGTGGAAGCGTAGGGTTAGATATATTTTTTTTTTTGGGTAAGTAAGTTATGTACACCAAGGTTTGGATATATGTAGATCAAGTGGGTGTTGTTTATCAATGAATAGCTAGAAGTATAGACTAACACAAGCTAAACAGTTATTAGCATAAAATACCAATTTGACCTGCGGATTTTTGAAATTTTTATCTGATTGGTCTACAGCTTATCAACAGACATGTCCTTGCAAGTAGTCAGATAGAATGAAGAACAGGAGGAGAGAATGGTGGTTGATCCTGACATAAGACTGGGCCATATAGAGACCTTGTTGAAACAAAGAACACTGACTAACTACATAAGGAATGTTTTGTTCAAGCACACAAAGTTCCTTGTAAAGGATAACATTGTGGAAAACATAGTTAAACAACATGTAAAAGAAAGTTGTGCTGGGGAGAATGCTGCCCCAGAGGGCCTAGTAATGTCTTCCATTCATTGGGTGGGAACTATCAACGGGGCAGTAGCTACTTGCAGACATAACACACAGACTCTGGCAAAAAAAACTACAAGGGTAAGTTGTGCAACACTGCAGGTGTAGCCATAAACAAATTGTTCAGTCTAACAATTTGTTTCCCTCCTGAATATGGGTAGACAACAAAAAATGGTGTAGTTCTGGCTACTTTCATGGGAAAATGTTTCACAATAGAGTCCAAAGACAGTTTGTCATTCATGTTAAACCAGGAATACAGACAAAAGAACACATCAGAATTTGAGTACTTTGTGAGATAGATATCAGGTGCAGTTTCACCAATACAAAACAATTTCAAGAGGAGAAGACACAAGAACACAGTGAGCAAAATATTCAGTGCGACAGACTAAGTTTGAGTGATAGAATGATAATAGAAACGTGGTACGGCAAGTATATTGAACCATAGAGAATTGTTGCCCATCAGGGAAATTGGAAACTGCAAAAATGAGAAAAGGGAAGCATCCAAGCAGAGTTGTCTATGTCTATAGTTTCTTTGTCAATAGGATAATGTTGGCAACGGCACAAGGGAATCGGATTAATTGGCTTCAATACTTTAAGTGTTTATCAGAAACATATCTGTACCTAAAAAAACTTTGAAATTTGTGTTGAAAAATGTAGGGTGTGAGAACATGTTCCAGGTAAAAGGGCTGTGTTGGAGCATCGAAAAATACACAAGCAATTTTGTTTTGGTCCAAGTGGGAAACTGGAAACACCATTATATCAGTTTGTGTGACATTCTTTGGGGAAAAGCTTCCTCATAGTGTTGGGAGCAGTGTCCTATGTCATTGTTACATGATTATAGGGCTGCTGGGGGGAGCTGATAGCACATTAGTAAGAAGAACAGCCAGTCTTGCCAAATGTTGCTGTTTTCAGACGAGACTGGCTGTGTTACAAAATAGTAGGGCAGAACTTTATCAAAAAACAACTCCAGTGGACCACCAAACTAAGGGCCCAGTCCAAGTATATACAATTACCTAAAGGTTGGTGTCATTGGGAAGCCAGCAAAGGATGCTCTAGAGGCTTCTAACTAGTCTGTCAAAGTCATCCTACTAGTGGATGGCCAAATTTGTTAATTTTGGCTGTAATTTTACTCCGATAAAACTCGTACAGTAGTACGTACGTACCGTGTGCTATTACAGTTACTTGTACATGCGGAAAGTTACGGACTTTCCGTCCATGAAAGGGCTACCTGATCTTCTGTCTGGTTGCTCTCATCTTCATCATCTAAAGCATGACGAGGCATGAAGTGTTGTCAATGGAGGAGAATGATACAGAAATAGTGTACGAGCACGAGGTATCCATTCGATCGCAAATCTTGCAATCCGTTAAGGCATCTCCAAATTTGACAATCCGACCGGCTGATCTTTCGCAACAGCTTGGATTTTCTATCAACGATGCCGCGGCAGAGCTATGCGGATTGCTACAGATAGTGGGCCAGGGATCGTCATTTTATTTCGAAGAAATAGAAATCTGCGATGATGCAAATGGAAACAAGAGGACGATAAAATCAATGGTTTTCAAATTCCCAAGTGATTTTGAACGCAAGGTATTGCGTGCCGAGAAAAAAGATTCTTTCCAAGCTTGGAGCAAAATTTTGATCAAAGCTTTGAAAGTCGTAACCGCATTTGGGTTGGTGATATCTATAATAATAGTGTCGACTGCTGTGCTAGCGGCGCTCGTCGCTGCCTTCGTAACACTCTCCCGGGGCGGCGGAGAGTCTCGAGCCGTACGCAACAATGTTTCGCAGAAACTGAAGAGCTTGATATTTACCATTCGGCAGCTGCTTTTTTGTTTTGCTATGCTTGGCCCTTCAGGCAATGATCAGAATGACTTTTTTAGAGAAGCTGCCTACAATACGTGGCTCGTCATGAGTTTTTGCTGCGGGAATCCTGGCAATATTTTCTTTTGGTCCCGGGCAGGCCGTTTGCATCAAAGATTGCGAAGTCGACCTTCAAGAGCTACATTCCGAAGCACGTGTGCAAATAGCGATGGATCTCACAGTGAGGGAAGAAGCCTTTTGTCCAGAAATTATTTGCAATCGGAAAACAATGCGAACATTCCGGTCCGAACGAACACAAATCACAGGCAACAGCCACAACCAAAGAGTTTGATTTCCTCACTAGTTGAATTTTTGTTCGGACCCACTACGCCTTCTGGCACTTCAAGTGCCGATAAATGGCGGCTGCGAAGCGCTGTGATTGTGGACAAGGCGTCCGGTGATGGTGGATATATGCGTCCAATTTCCCTTCAGGAGCTAGCACCGTTTGTAAACTCTCCGCCTACTTCTTTGGACGACACGTTCCAGGTGATAGCTGAAGGCTTGTCAATTGTATCATACTTCAACGGGATACCATCTTCTAGGATCATCGAAAAAGATGAAACAAAAAAACACGACGACGGGAATGAATCGAAAGCACTATTTGAATTTCCAGAATTGATTTCTGAAAGCCATCGAACGTGGTACGGTGAATCGCAAATGGGGGATCAAGGTGACGAAAAGACGAAGGAGGGATTTCAGAACTTTTTCTATTGCAACGACGACGCCGTGCCAGCTTCCTTAGCTGGGACTACTACTGCACTTCGACAGGCTGGGCCAAAGAGCTTAGTCATCCTACCAAAATATTTGTGCGAACAACGCAAGACATTTTCATCTCTCTCCCGAAACCAGTTCTTCTGCTGTTTACTCCTTACCAGTTTTAATTTTTTCGGTGTAGTCTGGCTTTCTCGAGCATTGGAAACAGGAGGTACTCTACAGCGAAATTTGGGAACAATTGGCGATTTTTTAAAGTTGGGATTAATTCCGGTGCTATGGTTCTATGCAAGATTGTTTGTTGCGATCCCAATCAGCCGTGTCGTCTATGTTTTGATTTACAACATGCTCTGTAAGCAACGAAATGCGAGGAGGAAATGCCTGGCATCAGCGCTCATTTAAGAGTAATCAACGGAATGGTAGGCAGAAATGCCTTGCATCAGCGCTCATTCAAGATGAAACTGACCATCCTCAGTCAGATCCACTTTTGTATTTGACTAGTATTTTACAATTCACCCTACTACAAACCATGCAAGAAATGGTTACTTCCGTAGGAACGATCTTCTTGAATTCTCAACTCATATGATAGAGATGTATCCTAAAGTAGGAATACCTATGGATTTAATCAAGAAATCATAATAAACATAATAAGCAATTGAGAAAGAAATCAATAAGCAGGACATCATACATTTGACGCGATATGGATAGTGCAAGTCAATGGGCCCAATATTTCCTTTTTGATAATTAAATAGAAGAGAAGAGGGTGGTAGCAGGGGAACTCAAGGTTACATGCCCAGGATTATTGATATCACCAGATCTATCAAAATTGCAGATAAGTTCCAGTACCCATAACATGTGTTAATCAATGGTGTTTGACATTAATATAATGCAGATTTTACTGTTGACAATGGAAGGCAATGGTCATGATTGCATGTCAGCAAGAATTGTGCCAATTTTTTAACTGATAAACAAGAGTTTTGATTCAGTGGTGCCAGTGCTGATGTTTTTGAGAACTTTTCATATGTTTTCTGCAGACATGTCAGGTTCTGGTTCAATTTCTTGGAATGCTGGATTCTTAACATCAATTTTACAGATGGAAGAAAACTTTATGATCTCTGCCCCTGGCCTGTTTCAATGCAAAATAAAGATTCATCTTTAGTTTTATGCAGTTTGATTCAAGGCATTTTTGAAAGTTCCTCTTAAATTCCTTTTGATGCTAGATTTGGATAGTACAATTCTGGTGGTGGTGGTGTTCTGTGTATTACGATGAATATCATAACAAGTGATTGCCACACTAAGAAATTGGTTCCCATTGTTAATTTACTGATGCCATCCTTAGCACAGTACAACATGGTACAAAATCTACGGAGGTAGTTTGCAACTATTCTGGTGGCGCAGAACCAATCCTGCTTCTTTCTCAGAAGGCAAATCATGCTGAAAATTTTTGTGACCAACACTCAGTAGAGCTCTGTAGAATTTGTACTGAAAAAATAAGGATGGCATCATTAAATTAACGATGAAAACCAATTTCTTAGTGTGGCAATCACTTGTTATGATATTTGTACTAGTAGTAGCTTGGTGGTAATCACCAGAGCTGTTATGATCTGAAATGCCAGGGGTAGTCAAAATTCTACCAAATCCTACCAACCAGTTTTTCAACCATCACACACCATAGTACTATACTATCACTAGTACTAATGGTGACCAAGATTTGTACATGACCCTGTGGAATCAACACATGTACTAGTAGAAGTACTTGTAGTAGTATCACTATTGGATCCACCCCTTTTTGATTTGCTCTTCTTGGACTTCTTGTTGTCCCAGGGTGGAAGTTTCTGTGTTGTTTTGTCAGCAGAAAAACAATCCACCACATAATTATCATCCACCCTCAAAATGAAACTGTGAAATACAAATACCCACAAATTACTCATGAATTCTTAAGAGTCAATATGGTGGTGAAAGGACAACTAACAAGAAGGATGCCACAGTAGTAGTATTACTACTAGTAATAGTAGTGACTGGACAAAGATCAGACTATTTCTTTGGCAAATATAGTAGTACTACTAGTAGTAGGTACTAGTCTTACATCATACTGGGCCATTCCCATTTATCTAGATTGATTAGATTTGATAGACAGATAGATGAAAAAGTGACATCTAGATTGACTAAATCTAGTCATTTTTGATTGACCCTCAGACCCCCATTCAAAACTGACCAGATTTAGAGTGGAACAATGCACAAATAAAAATTTGAGTCAGTTGAAAGACTCAACAGAAAGGCCTGTCAAAATTAAGACTCAGTTCAAAGAAATTGAGACTCAGTTATCCTGAACAACAGAACCATGAGCTCTCCTATTAAGAATGGCGCCACACAAAGGAAGAATAATGTCCAGAACAGTGCTCTTACTAGTAGCCACTAGTACATTTATCTCTGCTCTCAGCTGATATTGAGAGAGCAGAGGGAAGAGGGAATAGCAGCTCCTCCAGCTACTATGCCAATCCCACACACGACCACATAGTACATTAAGATGGATCCAACACTGGTAGCCAGCAACAGCAGTGCTGACAAGAAGAAGGAGGATGTGGGCGCAACAAGGCTGCTGGTATAGCAAACTACTCTGATGATGAGATATAGTTCCTCTTTCAGTTGATTTGTGATATCATGCCAATTAGTCCAGACCATTGGGAGACCATTGTAGTCAATGATCATGCAAAGGCATGGCCCTTTGGTGCCATAGAAACAAGAGTTCCATCAGGAACAACAAGTTCAATTGCACACCCCTCTAATAGTATAATTATGACCCCTGATCTTGGGTATGTCCAATTCCTACTACGCGTAAAAGAACAATTGAAATTATGTTAATTGAGGCATTGGGAAGGTTAATTTAACATTCTGAATGTTAGAAGTGTAGGCTATGCAGAAATGAGTACTGTGTTTTTTGCTTCTATTTTACAGCCTAAATGCTTAACAGTCTGGATGTTAGCAGGGGAGGCATCCTCTTCTTGTTCCTCTTTTTAAAGGAAACAAGGCCAATATAATTGGTTTTTGATGCTAGAAGGCTACCAAATGAAGAATATGGACAATACTAGGATCAAAAATATGGACAATACATGCTTACAATGACGTGCTAACATTGCATATGCTAAAATAACATTTGGAATGTTAAATTAACATTCCCAATGCCTCAATTAACATAATTTCAATTGCTGTTTTATGTGTAGTGACATACTGTCAGTACCTTCGATTCTTGATTCCTAGGGAGGTGAGCTACCATTCTAGCTATGTATTGTACAGTAGCTACTACTACAGTAGCAGGAAAAACTTTTGCTCTGTGGAAAGTTTTTGAGTATTGAAAACAATGTACAGACATAGGACATTAACCACCAGACAAATGATAGCTACCTTGCAGATTGTGATACCCCGCAAATAGCCTTGTACCTCAACAAGCCTCCTTGCTGGCCTCATTCTCAAAAGCATCGTCCCTCACAGTGAAGGACTGTCAACATGATGTGAAAGAGGAAATATTCACCCCCTTCCCACCCTTAAACTAGGGGTCAGCAACGCAACAGTATTTAAGCCTTGAAACACTGCACTAGGGTTGAAAATTTTGCAAGGTTGCAACGCTACCCTCTGCTAGTATACAGCGGCTGTTGCAAGACTGAACCATATGGGACTAAAAAATGCAAGACTGAATACATTCCTCCGGTCCCTATATATGTCATTGTAACCTGTTTTGATTGGTCCTGTATATGTGTCTCCACTTTACTTAACAGTTTTTGAGTGGCGGTTGGATTTTACAAATGACTGTGTAGAACATGTACAATCAGTACTGAGGACTAAAAATGTGCATGCATGTTAAAAAAATTATTTGAATTTTTACAAATGAAAATTGCAAAAATACCCTCTATTAACACAGTGAACTCTAAAGTCTTCAACAGTCTGCATTGGCAACGGTAACAGGTACCTCTTTTGAACAAGAATGAACAATACAAGAAAGTTCTCCATACTACCTTGAAAATGTGTCACTCTTACTAGCTATCATGTGCAAGTATTGGTGTATCAAAATGACTATTAAAACCCAAATGACAGTAAAATCACATTGATATGCAGAAAAAAGTCCTCTTTAACTAAATACCACAAGTATGTCAGATAATTTCAGTTAATACAATCTCTATACTTGTATACATTTGTAATAGATCTGTTAAACAAAAAAAGAAGCATTGAAATCGGCCATATTGAGCTTATTTCAATAGTAAACGTGCTACAATTACACATATATGATGTACGAATCTATGATATTCAAAAATGTACAATAATTTTGGCAGGAAACATTTGGCCCACCCTATACGATACCTTTGATCCAACATAGTGGACCAGAGGAAGTAGTACTTAATATAACTGCAATTACTTTTGGAATACTAGTTGTTGCACCATGCTATCAACAACAGCAATGACTCTGTGGCAGCCTCTGCTATTGGTGGTGATAGCGACACTACTTGTAGTAGTAGTAGTACAGAAGAGTAGGACCCTTTGATGATTATGCAGCAACAGGCAGGCACAAAAAGAGCAAGCTGTGACAGTGTCTACCAATTCCCAGAGTATCAAGGAATCATGTAATCTGGAGCTGCTTAGGAACATGTTGCATCCCCAACTTGCACCCTTTGAGATAGATAAGGAGAGTGACAAGACCAGGCACTCCAACCCTCTACAATGGTGGGGAAATAAAATGAACCAATTTGTTCCAACATTGGCTGCTGTTCTAGTAGCAAGGAAATATCTTCTTGCTGTTCATGCAACATCTGCTCCTTCAGAAAGAATATTTGGTAGTAGGGCACAGAGGATCATCGGCAATCTACGCACTAAGCTTGATCCTGATATTGCAGGGACGACTTTGTACTACTATGGTGTAGCTGAAATTTTTGATTGTTGGTTGTATGAGAAACAAATGGGCACATTGTTGAATGATTTGTGAATAGCAACATCATAGTGGTGGTATGGGACTACTATCAAGAAGTAGTAGTAATTATATTGTTACTAATGTTTTATATTTTGTTACTACACCAACAGCGTTGTGCAACGGTCAAGGATGGAAAAAAGGCGTTGTGGACCTTTGCAGCACAATGTTTTTCAAATGCTTTTGTGTTGCTGACCCCTAATAAACCCCTCCCAAAATAGTAATAGGTCAACAGTGTCAACTTGCCAAAAGGTGAACGACCTCAGACCATTACACATTTTACACATAGTAGATCTACTAATCACATTAGTCAAATCCTAATTTTGGCAAACACCTAGAAAATCAGAATAGTTGACCACTTAGATCCTTACAATATCAGACCACAAAGGTATGAACATATGGCACCACAGTGCCAAGAGGCCCAGAATGTCCTGTGGCACCAGTCCAAGAGTGATCACGGAAGAAGGAAAGGCAAGGCTACAAGAATTCATGCTAAGAGCAGTTACAGTAGGAACAACTGCGCTTGGTAGGTGAAGAACTTTAAATCGTGTAACGCGTCTCAACACTGTTTTGAAATTCGTGGAAATTCATAACATGAGTGAATGAATTTCAGCATCACAATCCAGTTTTGAATCTGAATACGAATCATTCAATTGCCAATCAATTGGTAAGTGTAAGTTGAATAATCTCCCCGTCGACGAACAGAAGTTTCTGAAAGCAGTTCAAAAGGTAATTTGGGAAAGATTTAGATTAGCCAGATGTCGCCATCGGAAAACCCAGGAGTTGACGAAGACATTGAGTTGGATATGGCGGGTGAGCTGCTGTATTTGTCTAATTCAATAGAGCAAGATACCACAGCATCGGACGATACCAAAGAATGCAGAACAAGAGCGCCTAGTTTGAGTGTTGTGCAATCTTATGGGAACCCCCTACCTGAAGAAGAAGCCAATAAAGCTGTTCCCGTTGGAAGTGACGGATTGATAAGGCATGCGATCGTCGTTCCAGATAAATTTTGTGTCGACGGAAAGCTAATTAGCGGTCTGAACGAACGAGATTTCGATGTCGAAAGAGGTGTCATCAAACCAAGACGGCCAACTCTTCCCATCACGAGAAAAGATTTGATGAGTTCTCTTACGAAGGTCAACAGCGATGGGGGGGTTCGATATATCTTCAATGGTGTTCTGAACGGATGGCCATCTCTGCAACACTTTGAACTAATTGGCTTGGAAAAGAAACGATCTCTTCCGGGCCGAGTCCAACCTCCTACATATTTAATGGAATACACTGGAAAAGCGTGGGTACCTCACTGGAGAGCGGAGAAGGAAGGAAAAGAAGGTAACGATTATTTGCTTCAAAGATTTCTGACAAAGGCGTGACTGTCCTCCCAATTTTCACCGCGTCGACTGATCATTTGTTTTTGTAACTTGATGTCTCAACTGCTTGGATTATCAGGTATACCTCCAGAATTTACCGAACCTGGAAAAATTTACCGTGCCACATTGAGAGGGGCGTCGTGGACTTCTCTGGGTTGGTCTGCTGAAAGTCCCGGATTCATTTTTTGGTACGAGGCACACAACAGGCAAGGCCCCCGCGTTTTGTATGGATCCGACACTATCTCAAAAGTAGAAGACGACATTTGCAAAATGGTAAGCATTGGTTCCTTGCAAGATAACAATTCTGTATGGGTTTGCGACGGCATGAAAAATTGTTTTGTCTAAGTTGCATTCCGGCTTTTATTTGTCTTTAGGTTCATATGATTTCTCATAGGGTACGTTATACTATACATCAGGATATTCCTTTAGATATGGCATGAAGTTTGGCATTTCAATTTTTTCAGTATCTGAATTATTGATTGCAATCCAAATTTTGAATTCGATTTCCATTGTGCAACTGCAGTATGCCGTGAATCGTGAATCACCCAAAGACAAGGTAAGTCAATCCCCAAATATTTTTGATTGATTCAACAATCATACTGCGCTAACTTGTTTGTTTGCTTTTGCTCTTGCTTTTTAGCTGACTTATCACTCCCTTGTCTTCTTGGAGTGGGAAAACAGTCCATACTGTACGATTATGGAAGGAGCGTTTCTAAATGGAGTTTCAGGCTACAAAGGTAAGAATAAGAGAAGAATCTCACCCAGGTTTTTTGTGTTACTCGTGGATTATCATTCGCGCTAACTAGTGAGCAACGTCCCCATATCTTCTGCTTATCCAGGAAAATGCAATTGGTACGTAGTTCGTTTTACCTTTATTTTGCCTGTGGACGACGAATTGTATGCATTGGCCGATGGTATGTTTTGGTTCCAAATACTGTACCAAAATTTCTAACTTTGTGCGTCACTTTTAGGTATGACGACAAAGACGAAGAAGTGACAGCCTTATACGAGATTTTGCCGCCAGAGATGATTAGTCCCTGGCTAACTAGAGCAGCAGAGCTCCGTTGCTATGATGTCAAAGCAAAAAATCTCGACGAATTGAAGGAATATATCGAGAAATACAACGGCACTCGCTTTCTTGATCCGCAATACACCTTTTCTCATCCTGCTCGTCTCTCGTACAGAAGCCGGTCGAATATTGCTCATTATCTCGTGAACTATATTAGCCGCAACAGTAGCTACTCAGAAATAGCTAGGAATTGTCAGACGTTTGCCGCCGATTTATGTTCCTTTTTGGCTGGAAAGAAAGACATTGTTCCCTACCATCCCATCAACCGAATTGAGTACCACAACAGGTCCCATTTGTTTTTATACGACAGCAGTATGTACAAGGCGAAAAAAAGTGAAAGCCTGATGGGAAAAGTAGCTTGGTAGGATTTATTGTAAGCACATCTACAGACTCTTAAACTTAGTCCAACGTTATTTTGAACGACATCGGCCGAAAAAACTGATATTGATTTTGAGAAACAAGTCACCAGGTAGCTCGGTGCCGCATCGATACCAGTGGAGTAGAAAAATAAAGTCATAGCAACGTTCTAACAGTTTCATTTCGTGTTCGTGCATGGCATTATCTAATGGTGTTCTTCGTTATTCGATTGTCGATCTATTATATTATTATTTTGTGGTAATCTAGTCGTACATGTCATCACCGTCGTTGCCACCGCTGTTGTTTCCTCCGTCATTGGCACCTCCGTCAAAACCACCTCCGAAGCCTCCGCTGTCCATCGAATCCATCAACAAATTCGCGGCGAGGGCCTCGTTTTTGTCGCACGCCAGGTACGCCTGGGCGGCCTCTGTTCTGTCAAATCCCATGTCTGCGAGACGATTGACAGCCGCCATCTCTTCCTCGGTCAGCCGAAGCACCTGCGGTCCGCCTCCTCCTCCGGCGCCGCCCATCATTCCATCAAGACCACCCCCGCCACCCTGCATGGCCTGCATCATGTACTGCTGGAGCTGTTCGGGAGGGATCTGACCGAGCATTTGGGCGGTGGACCGGAGCTGATCCGGAGACAGGCCCATCATGGTCGCCATTTGATTCAGTTCGTCCGGGCTCATGTTTTGGATGAGCTGCGCCATTTGGGCGGGGTTCGCCATTCCCTCCATCATGCCGGGAGGAATGCCCGGCATTCCCGTGGCCGCATCGCTAGAGGACGAGGAGGATTGGGTTTCGGATCCAGCGTTCGACGCCGACGAGCCCGACGAGGGGGTGCTGGTTTCCGTGATGGGCTCGTTCATCATTTCTAAAAAGGCCTCTTGGTTGTTGTTGATCTCCATCAGCAATTCCGGTTGTTGCTGTCCGATCTGAAACATGACTTGCTGTAGCATGGCGGGGTTTGACTGAACCAGTTGCCGGAGGGCATTGAATTGAGGGTGGTTCCGCAACGCGGCAAGCGTGCCTCCACCCGAGGCAGACGACGGCGACGAGGAGGAGGACGAGGCCCCCTGCTCACCCGGTTGCATGCCGGGAGGGATCCCGTTCGTCAGAAACTCCACCGCAATGTCGGGATTGCCGTTCGCGGCCCTCAGGCAGTGGCGAACCTCGGCTTCGGGAAACCCCATCCCCGTGAGGCTGTTGACGGTTTCCGTCGACAACCCGTCGCCGGCAGAAGCGTCACCGGCAACCGCCGGTGCCTCTGCGGATTCTTCGGTCTTTTTGTCGTCGCCCGCCGACGACATTTTGGCGTCGGAATCCGGGGGAGCTGCTGCTGCGGGGGCAGCGGCCTTGGGGGCCTCAGCCTTTTCGGCTGGAGCGGGAGCCGGTGCCTTCGCTGCAGCTTTCTTTGCTTTGGTCACCATGACCACCAGGAAATCATTTGGCTTGATCCCACAGCCTGGGTGCGAGAGACATGGAATGGAACGCAAACAAAGCAATGCATCGGTTCGAAAGAAAGGGGAACAAGCAGCGGGCGGTGAGCTTCGGAACAAAGCAATGGCAACGGTGTCGCGCTAGATGCCACGGATCCGGAATCGCGTTGTGTTGCGTCGCATCCGTGCCGGACGGGGTCGCCCGTTCCGTCCGTAGACCACCGAAACGCGGTGTGGCGGGATCCGTCGAATCTTTTTTTGCCTTTGCAAAGTCCTTACTTTCAATGGTTGGGTCGTCTTTCAAAACCTTTCCCGAGTGGATCAATTTCAGGTTGCTCGCAGGCATGTCGGACTGGGTCGATTCCTGTCGGCGTGTGCGTCGCATACGAGAAAGGAACGGGGTGCCACCGAATGGAATGGAATGGAATGAAATCAAGAACGTTCGGCAAAAGCGAGAAAATGAGAACAAAAAACACGGCACGCGCGATGCGAGCACTGTTGTACTAATCCACCGATTGCAACCGATTGGCACGTTGCGAGACGCATAGGAAGGAGCTTACAATGATCCCCTTCACCTCCAATATCGTATTGGAAGGCTCGCAATCCACCACGAACTTGCTTCCTTTCAGTGTCTTGACGGTCAGCTTCATCTTGAAATACCGTGTCTAGCTAGTATTGAAAACGTGGTTTGTTTCTGTCCCTCAGTGGGTCGTTCCTGATCGTATGGAACAAAACTGTGGGCCGACGTCGTGTGTCTGTGCGTTCCTGGTGCAAACCTATCCAATGAAGAGTTGGGAACCGTGGTCTTCGATGAGTGTGACAGTTATTTCGTACTGTACCGTATTCGGTGAACCGGTAGGAGCTGTGCGGTATGTGTTGTGCAGCATCGTTCCGGCGAACCATGAATGCTGAAACTACCGTACGGTATCGTACCGTACGATACACCGAAAAAGGAAAAAGGGCTCGTATCTGGCACTACGAGTAGTACGTACTCGTCATACGGTGCATTACAGCCCAACGGTACGGTACCTGGTAGGTACGTACCGGTACACCCAGGAGCAGGTCTGAGTCGGAAGAAGGGACGGAAAGATGCGAACGGCTAGAAAATCGAAAATCATCCTCAGTTTCACACGGATCACTCACAAAGACATGCTTCTGATGCGCAAGATCCTAGTGGTACTCGTACTATATTTATGACTTATGACTGAACACTGAACCCTACTGGCCTACGATGTACTGTACTTCTACTTCACCGTACGAAACGGACCGTGACTGATTGTTCACCATGCTTCGAAAGAGCTCTTTTGACCGACACCGGGACTCATCGACGATCGAGGATGACGACTCCTGACTCCTTCGACTGGAATGAGATATCGATTCGTCTCGATCGCCACCACGACTAAGACGACTAAAAATAATATGAATGCTGAAAGCCCGCGACAAGAACCAATGAGCTCATCGTTCGTTCTTATTAATCTTACAGTACTCGTACTACGGTAAGTACGGTACCGTACCGTACTTTACGTGCGGTACGATACCATCACCATCATTGCTTTGTGCATATCCCATTTTTTCTACTTCCGCTATCGCTCGGCATTCTTTTGTCTCTGGAAAGCAACAAGCCACGCCCAGATATCTCTTGCCTCACAGACCGACAATGAGCCGAACGGCGGAGTCGGCATCGAAGCCTCCCCCGGTGACGATTCCCCTTTTCACCCGCATGCGCGATTCGGACGGTTTTGTGGGAACGGTGGTGTACGTTGGAAGCGTTGCGAGCTCGAAGAATCCGGAGGAGCAGTACGCCGGGATTGTCTGGGACGATACCTCCCGGGGCAAACACGATGGGAGCGTTGTGTGCCGGCGGACGAACAAGATTGTCCGGCACTTTTCCTGCGGTCCCACGCAGGGTTCCTTTCTGCGGCCGAAAAAGATCGATTTCGGAATCGCCCTCACGGCGAAACTCTTGAGAGAAAAGTACGTCGAGATGAACGCCCCGGTCATTGCCCCCAACAACATTCTTCCCCACTCGGCGACGACGTCGAGCGGGAGGGAAAAAACGATCGAGTTCCTGGGCGAACTCCAGATACGAAAGCACCAGCAACTACAGAACATCGACAAGATCTCTCTCCGGCGGGAAGGAATAGCGAGGGCGTGCAACGAAAACAGCGACAGCGACGGGGGGGGCATGTCAGACTTTCGGCACATCCGGGACATCGATCTGGCGGGGAACCTGCTCTCGAACTGGGACGAAACCGTCAAGATCATGCGGCAGTTCCCCCTGCTCGAGACTTTTTCGCTGGCCCACAACTCGATCCGCGACATGGACACAACCCGTTTCCGATTCGACAAGATCAAAACACTCAACCTCAACAACTGCTGCATACAAAGCTTCCGAACGATACAGATAGTCTCCGAGACCATGCCCAACCTAGAATCACTCTGCATCGCCAATTCCGACCTCTCCGACATCAAAGACCACGGCGTCGGACCCGACGCCTTTCGGCACCTGCGGCAGCTGGACTGCTCCGGGTGTGGCTTTCACCAATGGGAACACCACGTCGGCGCCTTTGCGGCCCTGCCCCGGCTGGAATCCCTGAGCATAGACGAGAATCCTCTCCCGTCCATACCCCCGGGCGCGGGCGCGGGCCCGCTCTTCCCCAGCCTCGTTTCCCTGCAGCTCTCCGGAACGGCCGTGTCCACCTGGGGGGACCTGGAGGCCGTCAACTCGTTCGGGTCCCTCGGGGCGCTCCGCTTCGGGAACCTGCCCCTGACGGCGTCCCTCGGAGAGGCCGAGGTTCGGTCCGCGGCCATTGCCCGCTTTCCCGGCCTCGAGTTCCTGAATGCCTCGAGGATCTCCCACGAGGAACGGCTGGAAGCCGAGCGCCGGTACGTGACGCTCGTGTCGTACTCGCTCCAGAAACTGAACCGGTCGGAGGTCCCGGGGAGCACCGGCACCAGCGGCACCGGCGACCGTGGCGGTGGGGAGGACTCCCCCGAGCGAACGGCCATCCTGGACGATCACCCGAGGTACCCCGAGCTGATGGAGAAGCACAACAAACTGGCGGCCTTGCTCACGAAGGGCACAAGCGGCGGCGGGAGCCTTGCGGCCTCGGTCTACAACCTGACGATCCGGTCCATGGCGGCGGCCTCCTGCACGATGGACCCCGTCGTCCGCCGGCTGCCCGGGAGCATGACCGTGGAGCGCACCAGGGCCCTGTGCTCGCGGGCCTTTGGCGTGGACTACGACCTGGTCCGCCTGCGGTTCCGCACCGGCGGCGACGACAACGGCTGCCTGCCGGTGGAGATGGACGAGGACCACCGGACGCTGGACTACTACGGCCTCTGCGACGGCGCGGAGGTCCTGGTGGACGAGGCCGACCCCCGCGCGGTGGCGCTGGAGTCGGAGCGGACCGAGCGGGACCTGGAGCGGCGCATGGCGGACCACGGCCGGACCATAGCGGCGATGCAAAAGGCGAAAACGGGGAGGTGAGGGGGCCGCGGCGGACGCCGACGCGCCCAGCATTCCCGCGCCGAACCCCCGCGCTCGAAGGAATGCCACCGCCGGGCCGCAAGGATTGTTTTTTGCCGGGGGACGGGAGTCGATGGCAGCCGTGTTGCCTCCTGTGGTGGGTTCCCAGCAACCCTTCTGCGTGCTCCGAAAGCAACAAAACAGTTGGTGCCACCGAACGCCGACCGATGCGTTGTGGCAAGAACACGAGTGAAACGCAGGCCGTTGGTACCAATATGATGGAACGGTGGTGGTGTGGCACGTTCTGCGACAAAATCTCGAGTGGAATCTGCCTCTCGTCCGAACGAAACCACAAGTAGTACCAGTTCGAATTACTCGGTTTGGATACGTTGCACCGGTGCTTTGGCATAGACTAGTAGTAGTAATGCAGAATGGATTCCCTCTGGCTGTAGGAATACTTGTTGTACTAGTCGTACTGCTACAACGTGATTTTGTTGGTGTGTGATTGCATGCCTGTGCCTCCTCTGTAAAGATGAAATCGACGCGATCCTCAATTTCATTTTCTGTGCAGTGCAAAGAGCAAGGAGGAACAATTATGATGATAATGGGGTGAACATACATTCCTGTAGCAACATCTTCCTGTTTCAACCTCGATTTCTTCTTTTGACATCCACCAACCACCTTGGTGATAACACGGACAGCATGGACTTGTTTCATGATAGTTTCATGATAGATATTGTGGCATTGGGTAACTGGTACAGTAGTAAGATGTGCCGACAGACCCAAAAAAAGTAGCATACCGTACGGTACGTAACAACGGTACGTACCGTATGCTAACGTACTCGTACCTCGTACTCTACTGTACCTCGTACGGTACGAACTCGTAGTTGGATAATCTGAAAATCTTCCTCACAACGAAAAGGCACAAAAGATTCTGTTGTCGACAGTGTTCCGCTGGAGATCCACCACCGTCGCCGCCGTCGTCCGTGCGAGACTCTCGATTGCCAACACGGAAGCGCCCCCCACCGGAGCGAGTGCCTTTCTTTCTCGTCTCGCTTCGTTCGGATCGTTTCTCGGAGCAGGGGCCGCCGCGACACGAACCGCCAACAATGTCCTCGCCGAAAACGGGCGCCTCGCCGGAGGGGAGCGGGGGAAGCAACGCTTCGGGGGCTTCGGCGCCAAACGCGAACCGCGACAACGCCACGAACGGAACAGAAACAACAACAGCGGAACGAAAAACAGGAACAGAAACAGAACGGGGCCCCGCCGGGGCGTCGGCTCTGTCGAGTGGAGAGGGAAGCGAGCCGAACACGAACGCACCACCGCCTCCTGCGTCCTCGTCCTCGTCGCCGACCGGATCCAAGTCCCCCGCAAAGGAGGCTCCGCCCGCTGCTGCTGCTGCTATCGCCGCTGTCGAAACGACGAAGGGCGCTGCTCCGAAAAGCACCAGGGGTTCGGTGTCAACAGGGGTTGCAAACGAAAACGCCAGTGATGCAGCAACAGCAACCACAGCAGCAGCAGCAACAACAACAACAACAACCACCACAACAACAACAACAACAACAGCCACAACCACAACAGCAGCTGCCACTGCAACCGCAACGAAATCCATCGGCGTGCCTCCGGGAAGGGGAAACTCCAGCGGCACGGGGACCGCCAAGGAAGCACCCGCGTCCGTGGCAGCGGTTCCGCTCCAGGGCGGGAAACCGCCCGCTCCGGCGATGGCTCCAAAGCCGGCCCCCCCTCCGCGTTCCGGCGGGGACCGGGCGGTCGTGCTTGGCGGCGATCCCAGAACCGCCACGGGCGGGACCAGGGTGCGGGCCGGGAACACCGAGGCCTCTGCCGCGGCCCAGGGCCCCGCGACGAAAGCAGCGGCGGGGATTCCTCCTGCAAAGGGGATTGCAAGGGGGGGAGCAGCAGCGGCGGAAAGCCCGGCATCGATGCAGGCCCAGCCGCACCCGCAACCAAAATCCCAAAGCCAACAACAGCAACAGCAACAACAACAGCAACAACAGCAACAGCAACAGCAACAGCAGCAGCAGCAACAACAACAGCAACAGCAACAACAACAGCAACAACAGCAACAGCAACAGCAACAGCAGCAGCAGCAACAACAACAGCAGCAGCAGCGGTACATCGTGTCGAATCGACAAAACCAAGAAGAAGCTGTTTTCAAAATGGTACAAAACATTTTCAAGTTGCTAGAAACACGTGAGTCTTTGCCGCATCGGGTTTGCACTCGGGGAGCAGCTTTGCGCACTATATTATGGCGTGTACCGAGAGGGTAGGGACGGGCCTTCTAGTGATCTTTCCGCCTTTTTTTCTCATCCTTGCTTTCTTTTGTTGTTCCACACGCAAACACCCCAAAACCAGGTGGGCCACTCACGATGGCACAGCTCGAGTACAACCTTCCGATCTTGATCTTGGGATCTTCGAAGTCACTGCCGATGGCTCCGAAGGCTGGGGGTGCGGTGTCGTCGACACCGAACCAAGGCGCTTCGACCGTGAGTATCGAGCATGGAAAAAATGTGCTTTGGTGCAAATAGAATGTTCTCGTCTTCCGAGTTGTACCTCCCGCCTCCTAACAATCTCGTTTTCTGTCGAACAAGGATCCCGTCGTGTCTAGTAGCATCGGCGACGCCTCAAACACAAAACACACGAAAATTCCAACCGTTGCCGAGAGTCCGGCATCGTTGTACAGCGAAAAGCTGATTCCCGACAACGTGGTCCCCGACATCGTCGAGCTCCTCGTAACGCTGGGACTGATTCAGCGAGAAGCAACCGCCGACAACAACGGCACGACCGTGCGGCAGCCCCGGTTCGCGGTTCATTTCGGAAAGCCAAAACAATTCCTCGTCACCCCCACCAACATTTTGTCGGAAATCGCCAAGGCGCAGGCAGAAATCCAGGCCTCGCGGCAGCGCCAGGAGTTGCTGGAGGAGGCACTCGGCCTATCCGATCAACTGGCAGCCGAGAAAGTCAAGCAGATCGTCCTGCAACACCCGCAGGTAGTCGACGACCCGGTGTACGTGACCGCCCTGCGAAACCTGCAGGTCGACGGGATGCTCATAGCGGGGGCGTCGGGAGCGGCGGCGGCCGGCGGCTCGTCCTCGTCGTCCTCCGCACCGAACAGGGGCGGAACGGGAGCGTCGAGCAAAAAAGCCGCCGCCGGCAAACGGCGGCAATCCAGCGGGGCCGCCCCGGCGAAGCGCAAGCGGCAACGGGCCAGGAAGGAAGCACGCGCGGAAAGCATCGATGCTACCGGCGCACCCGTCCCCCCTCCCGGCGGCGCTGCTGGTGGTTCCAGCGGCACCAAAAACACAGCGGGAAGCCCGTCGGCTACAGAGGCGCTGCCGGCCGGGGCGGTTTCCATCTCCGGCGGAACGTCTGCCTCGAAGCCTTCTTTTTCGGTTTCCGATGACCGTTCAAAGAACAAACAATAGTTTGGAATGCTTCCAGCTATTGCAACTGGTATTGGCACTCTCAGCGTTCGAGGGAACTCATTCTCTCTTTGAGTGGTGTGTGAAAAAGGCGTAGACAATTACTATGTCATCGCGTATCAAAAGAACTTCCGGTCTTTTTCAGTCCGGAGAGGTGATAGAGCTAGACTGCTGTCTATGGTATCTAGAACCACTCTCATTTCTATGAGGCTACAGTGTGTCGTAAACTTAGATAACACCCTTGAATGCATACTAGTAGTACCGGAGCTAGTAGCTGAGCTTGTGGAACATCATGATCCACATGCAGTATGTTATTTTCACCTACTCAATCTGAATTTAACCATTGGTAACGCTAGAACCTGCTCTTTCTTCAATTCTCTGAAATATAGTGTCTTTTCCTATAGCATACTAGTAGTTCATTCTACTAGCACCTGTCACAATCTGATGCTAGTACTGCTACTACTATAACTTACTCCTACTGTTTTGACATAATGATTGGGTAGGATAATAGTTCTCACTTGCAATGGCTACTAGTACCCTGACCTTCTTTCTTCTTGTGATAATTCTACTACTAGTACTTGTTGTTGTTGTTGTTGTTATTCAGTACTACTAGTAGTGCAATTGATAGTTTTGTCCCTCCTTGCCTGTTCCTAGTAGTACTACTACTAGTACTGTACCTACTACTACTACTACTAGCACTACTACTACTACTAGCACTACTACTACTACTACTAGCACTACTACTACTACTACTAGTACTACTACTACTAGTACTACTACTACTAGTAGTACTACTACTACTAGTACTAGTACTAGTACTACTACTACTAGTACTGTAGTACATCAAAGCAGTACTACTACTATATTACTACTAATAGTAGTAGTATTTCTCATGGGCTTTGCTGTGATATCTGATGGGAATGAAGTACTGCTGCTGTATGCTGCAAGCACAGCAGGGGCCATAGGAACAAGTACTGCTACAAGCAGAGGAACTACTACTATCATATGAACACATGCATCAAAATGAAAGCTCAAGAGTTTTAATAACTGATATTTGACAGATGTGTGCAATGTGTCAAGAAGAAATTGAGAATAGATCAAGAATAGATGCAGAATAAATTAGAAATCAACAGTGAATTTAGAGGGAATACAATTCTCCTCTATCTAATCTCATTCTATTCCTCCTGAAGTCGCAAGTACATCTTGTTACTAATACATACTTTGGTAGCATGTGATCATTAATTTTCTCTATTAACAATTCCTGATGTATTCTTGGCCAATTGAAGGACATTGTGTTGTCATTGATCAAGAATAAAAAGAAGAAGAGCAGGAAGAATAAATATGATACTAGTAGTACTACTACTAGTAGTAGAATGAACAGGCAGATAAGAATAGTAGTACTACTACCACTACTACTACTACTAGTACTGCAACTAGTGCTAGTATATGACCGCACAACACCAAACTATTTAGGCACATGTGCACAATACTAGGTGCTCTACTTCCTACAGCTCCACCAGTAGGAGTGAAGCCAGAAACTAACTGTACTAGTAGTACTAGAACCTTTTGGTAGAAATACTCGTCTTCTGGGAAATTTGTTGCAACCAAGAAGAGTACCAGAACGAACGCAAATGTGTGCGTGACAGGTCCGGAATCAGTACAAATTGTACATGGCTCTACAGAGAGAATTATACACTTCATTTGCGTTCGCAACTTGAACCTGTCACACCTTCCAAAGAAAAACTATT